TCTAATAATAATAATTTTATATATAAATACATTGTTGGGAGGTTATGTGTTGAATTTAGGCGTGATTTTTGGTTTTAAAATTTTTTTTTTTTTTTTTTACAAAAATAAAAGTAAAACTTGTATTGATACGATCTTCTATAGATAAAATATATAAACAATTAACTTTCACTCTCCATTTTAATCCATGGTCTTTGGTTGGCATAAACACATTAAAGATGTCAGCTTGGACGATTTCTTCATAGTTTTAACATTTTGTTCATCTGAAATATTTAAAAAAATATACAGATTTCGATTTAACAAAAATTATATTAAAAATCATTGAGTGCGATCTCGAAATGAAATGAAATTTGGTTTAACGTCCTACTGTTCTGCTCCGACTGGGCTAATAAAGACGGTCATACACAATACAGTGTGCTTTGGTGAAAATTTTGCCCTGACAACGGCGCTACAGTCTACTATTATTCGAATTCCAAAAATTGAGAGTTCCTTTAACTTTACGCCAATGCCGAAACGGGACTTCGTTTTTCGTCCCATCCGAACGACTAGACACTGTCCTTGCCAGTCCTTCAGTCCTGCACCACTGACAAGGGGAAACCACGTGGAAAATCCAGGACCTCCTGGTTAGTGAGCCAGCGTCCTACTCACTGAGTCACCCGCGACTCCCCTTTATATGAGTTGATTGATGATGTACTAGTATAAAATATAAAACTGACCTATTTTATTTTCTGTCTTGTTCTTTGATTTCCGGCTGATTCTTTTCCAGAATTTCTGAAAATGATAAAATATATTTTTCTTTATTGAAATCTGTGTTTGGATCTTTATAACTTGGTGAGTTTAAAATTAAGTAATTTTCTGAATGAAAATGATAATGCCCATTGAAATTATTGTATATAACACGGAAACAATATTTTGTTATATGTTACCATGACAATGCGTTTTAAACACAAAAAAAACTTACTTTAAGAAAATTCTGTCTATTCTTGGGTTTAGGTGTTTCTTGTTCCTCTGTTTTATCTGAGAAAGGTCGATGTTCTGTCATGACTGATGAAACTGTAGAATTGGAGGTGTTTATATCAACAATATCTTTGGTATCTTGGCACCGTTGATTTATAATTCTGTCTGAGCTTTCAATCTCAGTAATGGTTCCACTAGACGTCGGTTTGACTTGAGTTATGACGTTTTCAGCTTTCGTTTTGTCAACCATATTTATGGCTCCATTTTTATAAGTTGTCCTTTCAGAAATATTTCCATCTACGATTACTTGATTTCCTTTCGGTCTAACAGCATTCAAAATTCTATAAAGGGTCCCAGCTGCAGACGATCTTAGGGTACATGGGGTGAAATATGTAGCAACTGTCCCACCTTGCATCTTTTGCATCTTTGTCGTTACATCTTCAGGAATCAAGTTTCTGTAAAGGTTCTGCGCTGCAAACGATTTAATGGTACATGGAGTGAAATATGCAGCAATTGTTCCACCTGGCATCTTAGGCCTTACATCTCCAGGAATCAAGTTTCTGGTAAGGGTTTCAGCTACAGACGACCTAAGGGTAGATGTAGCAACTGTTCCAGCTGACATCTTTGTCGTTATAACTCCAGGAATCAAGTTTCTAGAAAGGGTCATAACTGCAGACGACCTAAGGGTACGTGGCATCCTTGTCTCTAGATCTTGAGGAATAATTTTTCTATCAACATCGCCATATTTCATTTCGTCATTTTCTTTCTGTCTTGCAACATTCAAGTTTCTCTGACGAGTTCCAGCTGCACCTAGCATCTTATTCGTTAGATCTCCGGGAATAATTTTGCCATCACCACCACCGATCTCAGCAGCTGTGGTCTTATAATTAGCTTTTGACAAGATTTCGCATATTGGTCTATCATTCCTACGACTCGTAGCATCAGAATCGTTGATGATGCTGAAAAACAGAGGTCGTGTTTTGATGTCCTGGATGTCGCCTAGTTGGAGGCTGAAGTCTAAATCAACCAATTTAAATCGGATTATAGGACGACCAGGTGTAGGAAAAAATCCTGAAAAAATTAAAATAGAATATATAAATATTACCAAAGAAATAAATAGATCTTAAATATACCCCCACTCCTCACCCCCTTTTCAATTAGGTTTTTTAAACATGTATTATGTAAGAGCTAAATGTGCCTATTACAGGTTTTTATTTTGGCTTCAAATGTTATATAATTTATTATTTAGACATTTATTCACATGACAGGCCTATAATCAACTCTCTAGGATATTCTTCTGCCGCAGATATAAAATGATTTAATTAATGGGTTGGGTGGGGGGGGGAGATGACCGAATGATTTGCACGTGTGCCCTATATCATAAGGCCTGTCACTGGCGTGGTTTCGAATCCCCAGTTGTACGTGACAAGAAGTAGGGTCGCCTGCCCAACCCCGTGGTATTTCTCCGGGTCCTCCGGTTTTCTCCAATTTGCTAAAGACCCCTACGCGCAAGCGAATTTTTGAAATAACATTGAACCATATGACCTAGTTTGTGTCGAGTGGATGTTAAACTCTCCCTCTCTCTCTCACTCTGATAAGAATATTACAATTTCAACAAACCTTTAGGTCGAGTATTTGGTCGAGTTTTAGATGTCCTAGTTCTCAGTTCTTCCTGCAATATCTTAATATCCTCCATTTTATTTCTGGAATAAATTACATGTAATAATTTAACATGATTGAAAGTAAGTAAATAAATGAATAAATGAATAAATGAATAATTAAATAAATGAATAAATAATCAGGATTTGTTGAATTATTTTGACAATGAAATGTGGTTTAACGTCCTACTGTTCTGCTTCGACTGGGCTAATGAGTTTTAGAGTTTATTTTCCTCTAATTTCACGGAGTTACGGCGCCACGGCGTATGAGACGCTGGCTCGCTAGCCAGGAGGTATCGGGTTCGACCCTGATGTTGGCCGAGAACCGAGAAAGTTCCTCTGGAATTTCCAGCGCAGTTTCACATGTGTCGGGTCAAGGCAAGGCCGTGTCGTTCGGATGGGACGAAAAACAGAGGCGTGCACGTAAAAGAACCCACGTCAGTTGAGTTGGAATTTGTAATAAGAGTAGGCCGTAATATCCATCATCGCACACACTTCATATGGCGTATGCCCGTCTTCATTAGCCCAGCCGGGACGAACAGCGACCCGTTAAACCCTATTTCATTTCTTCTTAATTCAATCTTTATTATAACGTGTGTTTATTAAATAATCTAGTTCGGGGGCTTAGATCTTAATCTAAATCACTTGTTTAATTATTATAATATATCTAAATCTAAATCTGAAATAATCCTAAATTTTAATGATGAAAATAACAGAATATTGTTGTCACTTACCTTATAGAAGTTAATGAAGACAATTTAAGGTCAATTTGAAGAAATTCGTGCTAAAATAGCAAATATTCTTGTAGAAAATACGATGTGTGACTTTCCAGTAGTAATATACACGGTAAATCTAATTGTTATGACGTCATTCTATTATATTACGTAGAATAATGGCATGACGTCACTTTTAATCCGTATTACACACGAAATCATTAACTTTCAAATTGAATTTGTAATTAAATTTGTGGTGTTTTCGGAGATATTTGAGACATTTAGGTATTAGCACAATATGTTGACTGGAACCTTTCTCGGGATTTTCCAGCAGCATGGATACCCCTTTCCAGTAATGCAAGGAACAACATCTAGTCGAGAGTGCACGTAAAAGAACCCCTGTCACTGCCCGGGCACAATTTTCACCCGTATATACTCATCTTCATTATCACGGGGTGGGGGTGGTGGGGGTGATGGCCGAATGTATCATAAGGTCTGTCATTACGTCAAGGGCCGTGGATTCGATTCCTGGGTAGCTTGTAAAACCTCGTGGCGATGTATTGAAATAAATTGAACCAGATGTTAGTCCCGAAATGATCTGGTTTGTGTGGAGAGGACGTTAAACCCATCTCTCTCTCCCTCTCTCTCTCTCTCTCTCTCTCTCTCTCGGTTGACGCAGAAATATAGGATGCTAAATCCCATTTCATTTCTAAAACGGGAGCCACGGTGGTTAAGTGAGTAAGACGCTGGCCTGGAGGTCGCGGGTTCGATGCCGGTGTTTGCCTCGAAAGTTCATCGAGATTTTCCAGCGTGGTTTCCTCTTGTCAGTGGTGCAGGACGTGGGGGGGGGGGGGGGCTGACAAGGACAGCTGTCTAGTCGCTCAGATGGGACGAAAAACTGAGGTCCCGTGTACATATTGGCGTGCACGTAAAATATCACTTGGCAGTTGGAATTCGATATAAGAGTAGGCCGTAGCGCCGCTGTCCGGGCACAATTTCCCTCATAGCACCCGTCTTCATTAGCCCAGATCGGAGCTAATAGGAGTTGCGTCCCTTTATCCACTTGGTGATATCCCAAGAATGTCAAGGCGGTTGTTGGTCTATTATTAGATAAAGAATAAAAGCATCGGAATACCCATAAACTGTCTAAGGAATGCTGTGGATTGAACACTGAAGACCGTATGAGAAATTAGTAGTCTTGCTCCACATTCATTTATTAATAGGAGTTGCGTCCCTTTAACCACATTGCCATATCCCAAGAATGTCAAGGCGGTTGTTGGTCTATTATTAGATAAAGAATAAAATCATCGGAATGTCCATAAACTGTCTTAGAAATGCCATGGATTTAACACTGAAGACAGTATGAGAAATTAGTAGTCTTACTCCAGATTCATTTATTAATAGAAGTTGCGTCCCTTTAATCACTTGGCGAGATCCCAAGAATGTCAAGGCGGTTGTAAGTCTACGTCATATTCGCCAACGTGGTTTTGTTGACAAGTAAAACAGGGAACACCGATAATTTCATCACCATTTAGCAAGAAGTCCCTAAACACGTAAATCTGAACACGGCCAAATAAAAACGTTGCTAAAATTAGACCAAAGATAAAAACTATAAAAGCGACTTTCAGATAATTTCAATCCATTAATCAGAATATATCAGTCAACAGTCTGGGCTTTGTTAAGATACACTTTGTTGTACAAGGATAGCAACTTATTACCACTTTCTAAAATTCATCATGGGATTTCTATTCTCCAAGTTAGCGGATATTTACGCAGATTTCAGGAACGATCCAGCTAGAATTTTAATGGTCGGACTTGATGCCGCAGGTAGGACATGCAACTATTAAAATCACTAATTGTCTTTTCTTGATATAAGAGAGAGACTGGTATAATTTCATTTCAATTTTCTACACACGCTTCGAACGACGAAATCTTGATAACTTCTTTCTATAAGCGGCAAGTTTTCCTAATATGTAGAGTAACGGAATCTGCCGAGGTTTGCCGAGTGTTTCTGATACGTTTCAGTTTATTAAACATACATTATACAAGAGCTAAATCTGCATATAAGTATGCCATCGCTTGTCTGCGATATATAGTGGACTGGAATACATGTTTTGAAAAATAATTAAACGTAAAAGTGGATTATCGGCACAATACTAGATCTTCAAAATCGTGCGAAATATTTTGATACCAGGATTGTAGGTAAGGGTTAGGGTTAGGGCTAGGAACCTTACCCTAACCCTAACCCACAATCCTTATATCAAAATATTTCGCACGAATTTGAAGATCCAGTATTGTGCGGATTATCGAGACTTTGTTTTATATCGTACCAACTTTAGTAGGCCTAATAATGATCGAGGCTAGCCTAAACTTCAATCGCTAATATATCGGTTCAAGGTGGATCAATTTGACTGAAATTTTCAGCAAATTCCCTTTACATTATCTATGTCTTAACTTTTATAATGAGAACTGCCAGCTCGTTATCTAATATCTCATACTCCCCAGTTAATATATTTTGTCCATTTTCAGGTAAAACAACGTTATTGTATAAAATCAAGCTAGATGAAAATGTGATGACAATACCTACAATAGGATTTAATGTAGAAACTGTCTCACCTGTTAAAGGTGTAACATTCACCATGTGGGATGTTGGAGGACAGGATAAAATACGACCTCTCTGGAGACATTATTTCCAAAATTCAGATGGTAAGTTATCATTTAGTTCATTAAAAACAAAACAATGACGGAAGGCTATCGGTAGTTACGACTCTTGAAAAAAACAGGGTCATATTTTTATTTTCAAATGGCATTTTCACAACATCAGTGTTTTGGTGCTTTTCTGATTTGGATAAAAGACACAAATATAATTTGTGTTTTGGCCGTCATTAATATCTCACAATAATTGTGTAATCAAGTTAGATCCATGTGCATCTTGTATAATTTATTACAACTTTACAATCTGATTAAAACACAGATCCTATTTCGTTTCGTTTTATAGTTTAAAATTTCATTTTACTTGTCTTCACAACACTAGGATCTGGAAGAGTTGTTATATAACAGGCGTTCTAGTTGATGTGAGGAATTGGTCAATGAAACGGTTTGTTACGGCGAGTTCTTGGCGTGAGATGCACGGAACCACTAGAAACGTCAATGTTGATTGATTAATCAATGTCTGACGTCATAGGGTCAAAAGACGCGACCTTCCAATACTACCGGTCAGATCTTCATGTAGTGTAGGCCATCGAAAGTATAAAAAAACGAAACGAAAAATAGATATGTATTTTAATCATATTCCGGAAAAACAAATTTCTATTTTCAAAAATGGAACATAACATTTGACCTTTTTCAGCTGTATTATATGTTGTTGATAGCGCTGATCATGAACGATTACAAGAAGCTCATGATGAATTGATGACAGTATGTGACAGTGATGAAATGAGAGGTGTTCCTATTGTTGTGTTAGCAAATAAACAAGATCTTAATGGTAAGAATAATATTACATATTTCTATTCCAGTTATCATTCCGTTCCACCATTCACGGGCCACGGTGGCTAAGTGGGTAAAATTCTGGCTCGCTAGCCTGGAGGTCGGGTGTTCGATCCCTGCATTGCCCGAGAATGTTCACCCAGATTTTCCGGCGTGGCTCCCCTTGTCAGTGATGCAGGCCGGAGGGCCTGACAAAAACCGAGGTCCCGTGTACACATTGGCGTGCACGTAAAAAATCCCTTGATAGTTGGAATTCAATATAAGAGTAGGCCGTAGTGCCGCTGCCCGGGCAAAATTTCCCTCATAGCACACTGTATGTCGTATGTCCGTCTTCATTAGCCCAGTTCGGAACAGAACAGTAGGACGTTAAACCCCATTTCATTTCATTTCATTTTCATAACTTGGTCGATTCATAGCGCCTACTGTAGATTCAGTCCAGCCATTACAAGTTTCGCTGTTGTTTTATAGTTTTGTATCTACTACAATAGTCATACGCGGGGGGGGGGGGGGCGGTTAGGGTTCCATGTATCTGTGCGCCCCAACCTCTCCCTTATAATGTTTAAATCTCTATCAATTACAATCAAAAAGTCCCTGTTTGCCCCATTTCTAAAAAGCGAATAGTAAAAAACACAACACAATTCATATGGAGTACAATCACTGGTTTATACACATATAACACGACGTTTCAACAAGTATTCTCTTATCGTTATCAGGTCGTGTTATATGTGTATAAACCAGTGATTGTATTCCATATAAAAGAATGTTGTGTTTTTAAATGTACCCAATCACTAAATACCACTCGAGGATTATAAAAGCGAATAGTACTTAACATTGGGATATCGTGTAAACACACAATCGATCATGATGTTAATGAAATAAAATTGGGTTTAACGTCTTACCTTACTGCACGAGCCGGGGTATCATGACGTGTACTAGATTAGGAGGCAGACCACCATTAAATTTCATCATCTCGGTACCCTGTAGTTCGTCTATTTAAAGCAATTCTCTCTCTCTCTCTCTCTCTCTCTCTCTCTCTCTCTCTCTCTTTTCTCCCCTTTTGTGTGCCCATTTTTGTTGATTTTTTGGTCTAGAATGGACGAAGAGGGTTTGAATTAACATTTTCTGCCAGGTTTTGGTAAATATTCATGATTTTGATGCGGAAGGATAACAGGGTTATCAGGTTGGCTACGGCCATATGTACGGCAACTAGTTACATGTTTTTAGTATGCTTCTTCAAGTTTGTGTATCTCAAAATTTTGGTGGTCAACCTCATACAAAATTTAGTGCAAAGACATGACCATTTGTTCCTCTGTCTGTAGTGAAAAGCATTCAGCCCAACGAAAATTTGGGGAAAAGTTGGAGGTGGGCAAAGAGGCCAGAATTAACATTGAAGTCAATGGGGAAATTAATGGTGGTCTGCCTCCATTAATATAACGCTCCTTTGCGGATTGTCTCCCTTGTATCACTGTAACTGGTCTCAGACTAGCAATTATTTGCCCATTGACTTCAATTTTAAATGGCTGTAACATCACAGACTGTAGCTTTTTGCTCAACATTCCGTTGGTTCCAATCTTTTAGGCACAATGGGGACAACATTTGGCAATCTCCTCATCATATTTTTGTAGGGGGTTGACCATTTAGATTTTTTGCTACGCGGATTTGAAGTTGACTCGGGTGAAAATCTCACTTCCAACACAATGATTGCTCTGCAGGACACTTTACACCCCCTATCCCTCCGCTGTAATATCATCAGTATTACCCAAAACTGCTATGAAATTGCAAATTTGATCCCTTTTCTCCAATTCTAGACCAAAAAGTCAACCCAAAAATGCAGGAAGAGGGGAGAAAAAAATTAAGGGAAAAATTTATAACTCGCACTCGCATTTATAACTCATGAAATAAAGGGAAATAATTACTAGTCTTAGTCCAACTGCAGTGCAGTGGGCGATTGAATGGTCCCCGAATACGTTTGCTTAATTTGATAGCTCTGTTATTATTTATTACTTTCGATCTCCGTGTGTGATGATACGTGTTCGTCTTCTGGGTTTCTTGACTTCAGAACCGTTCTCCCGCACTTTCTATTTATTTTATCCAACATTAGGAACCACGGTGGCTAAGTGGGTAGGACGCAAGCTCGCGTGTTCCATCCCTGTATTTGCCGAGAAAGTTCATTGGGATTTTCCGACATGGTTTCCCCTTGTCAGTGATGCAAGACGGAGAGACTGACAAGGATAGCTGTCTAGTCGCTCGGATGGGACGAAAAACCGAGACCCCATGTAGGCTACACATTGGCGCGCTTGTAAAAGACCCATTGGCAGCATTTTGAATTCGATATAAGAGTAGGCCACAGTTCCGATGCCCGGGCGAAATTTCCCCTATAGCACACTGTATGACGTATGCCCGTCTTCGTTGGCCTAGACGGACCAGAACAGTAGGAGGCTCAACTCCATTTCATTTCATTTATTAATTTATCTTATCCAATATTACCTTCCTAGTGGATTCCCCTTCATTCTTTCTTTTTAAATATGTTTTTAGAGTGTCTTGTTTTATTATTCTATTAACAGGAGCGATGTCCGCATCTGCTTTAATTGAAGGTTTGAATCTGAGAAAATTTACAGACCGGAAATGGTTCGTACAGGGGACATGCGCTGTAACGGGTGATGGTATTTTTCCCGCCATGAAAGAACTCGCAAGATTAGTTAAAGACTTTAAAAAATCGCAAAGATAAACAACCCTGTTTTGACTTTGAGATGTGTGATATTGTAAAACAATCATAACTTTTATACTGAAAAGATGTATATATCTTAGTCTGTATTTACTGTGATATTCATATGGATTTACAAGTGAGGAGTGATTGTGGGCTGTGCATATATCGAAAACACGAATTATTTGTAAATTTAAATTCACATTGATGTTGTGATCTTAATGTGAAAAGATGAACTTCTGATATCCAAGACAAATTAAACATTTTACCATTGGTACCATAATACGTATCAGTGCTATTTGTAACATATCAAACGGTGACACCATATTCTTGTCTGGAGAGCATGCGCAATAAATACTAGCGGTGTAGACTGGAATAACCAGACGCAAGAGATAGCCATCGGAGTGAGACGTCTGGCGTATTTCGCCGAGCATAACTGATTTGAAATTGGAGTAAAAACGGAAACGATTGAATGTAAATCACTTCATATACATTTATATATATATTGCGACCCATTTGTGTCAATTTCTAAGTCACAAATATTAGCAATTTAGCTCCTTTAAATAGAAGTTATACCGAAGTCTTTCTTACCTATCTCGAAGCGCCATTAACGATCAGTATAATAATCATCAGAAATTTATCAAATCAGGGATTTCTTTATACTCACCACATTCCCTCCGATAGCCTGTATCAGGACACAAACTAATATATTGGACCATTTGGGACCATCTATACGGCGATTAGTTTCAAATTAGATTCTGTGATATAGAGGCACGTCGATAGAAGTAGCAGGTACTCTTTACACGAAGGGTACAGGAAACGAAAACAACTTAGGCTATACCTTTGTACTGTAAAGTCGACTTATAAAAATGGTTCATTTTTTGTATATACTATATATTCTATTTTTATTCTAATATGTATGTAATATTGGCTAAGTTCCTTTCTTTGTATATATTTTATTTTTTTCTAAAAATTAAATGTTGTATGTAATATTGACGTCTGTGTTATGCATTGTATATATTTTATTTTATTAGAATATGAATTAAATGTTGTATGTAATATTGACTTATGTGTTATTCCTTGTATATAATATATTTTGTATTTTATTTTAATACGAATTAAATGCTGTATGTAATATTGACTTAATTTCTTTCTTTGTATATATTTTATTTTATTATAATATAAATTAAATGTCGTATGTAATATTGACTTATGTTTTATTCATTTTTGTATTTATTTATTTGTAAAAAATAAATAGAAATCTCTTGATTTATTATCGGTATGTTGTCCGGGATTAAATATGCATTATGCAAGAGCAAAATCTGCTTATTACAAGTCTTTCTTTAGGCCTGAAATGTTATCTAAATTATCAATTAGACATTAATTAACTTATCCAGACCATAATAAACTCTCGATGTCAAGGCTACCTTTCGATGTAGGCTGGATTAGATTCCTATATGCCGCTTATGGCTATTGATAATTAAATCAATAAAAGTGGATAATCGAGACTATGCTGTTTATATGGACTCAGACTAGCAATTATTTGCCCATTGACTTCAATGTTAAATGGCTGTAACATCACAGGCTGTAGCTTTTTTCTCAACATTCCGTTGGTTCCAATCTTTATAGGCACAATGGGGACAACATTTGGCAATCTCCTCATCATAATTTTGTAGGGGGTTGACCATTTAGATTTTTTGCTACACGGATTTGAAGTTGACTGGGGTGAAAATCTCACTTCCGACACAATGACTGCTCTGCAGAAAGACACTTTACACCCCCTATCCCTCCGCTGTAATATCATCAGTATTACCCAAAACTGCTATGAAATTGCAAATTTGATCCCTTTTCTCCAATTCTAGACCAAAAAGTCAACCCAAAAATGCAGGAAGAGGGGAGAAAAAAATTAAGGGAAAAATTGTCTATTTATAACTCGCACTACATTCGTCCATCATGAAATAAGGGGAAATAATTACTAGTCTTAGTCCATATTAATGATTTTAGTAATGATGACCGAGACTATGCAAAAATTTCACCCGCTTCTTTCTCGGCTCATAGTGGATAAATTTGACTGAAATTTTCAGCAAATTACCTTTACACTATCTAGTTTCTAACTATTATAGCGAGAACAGTCATCTCTTTATCTTATCTCCCATAATGTATCTTTAATTAAAGAAACATACAATAACTACAAAAATACTTAGTCATCAACATACCACCCCCTTTTATACCCCAAAACTAAGTCAAATTTGTTTCCCTGGAAACACAAACATTATTGAATCTGAGAATTGTCGAATAAGTAACATGTTCAACTAGTATAGGAAGTTAAGGGTACAGCGAGTGCCATTGCTATTTTTAGTAATTGGTCATTTGCATTTACTGTGACTCTCTCATTTATACCAGGTCAGTCGATCATTGGACCGTCTCTGGTATTCTGCGTATTTGGTGCTGTATCTTTCGTGTCAGTTTGTTTTGTTTTGAGATTTTTGTCAGAAACAAAAGGGAAATCATAAAAAGACATTGTGCATTTCTCTTTCGACAAAAATCTAAATATTTCAGTTATTTAATGTCAATATGATCGAATATCTGAAAATGAACAAACCATGTCTAAATCCAATAATCCAAATCTCAAAAATCCATAATCTCATGAATTCATTTGATACAATATGTAGCCAGATGTTCATCATAAAATATAAATATATTAAACTGCATACTGTGAAAGGTTATTAACAGATTTATCCTGAACAGTCTATGTTTATATATCATATAGCCCACGCACCTAAGTTGAAACAGATGTGCATATCGAATTTAAATGACATTTGAAACTATTGCCTCCACAGTCAATTTACGTACACAGTGAGAGAGAGAGAGAGAGAGAGAGAGAGATGGATTTATCGTCCAACTAGGTCATTTCGGGACCAACATATGGTTCATTATTATTTCAATAATTCGCTTGCGCGTAGAGGTCTTTAGCAGCGGGAGGAAACCAGATGACCCGGAGAAAACCCACGAGGTTGGACAGACAACCCTACTCCTTGTCACGTACAACCGGAGAATCGAAACCACGCCAGTTGACTCAATGACAGACCTTATGATACCAATTTACGAACAGACATAAAATGTCACATACTGGTGTTGGTAGCAGTACAAAATTAGTAATGCGTATGGTCATATGCTTACTTCTATGCATTTAAATTGGCTATTTACATATTATGTAAAATGCTAATTTTATGACCTATGTTGGTAGCAGTACAAAATTATGGAGCGGAATTTACGCCATAATTCTAACCTAGTAATGCGCATGCTAATATGCTTACTTCTATGCATTTTTCTTCTTAATTACTTGTTAAATTGGCTAGTTACACATGCAAAAATTCTAATTATATGACTTATTACAGTCGGTATTTGTGTTTTGTTCTATTTCCATTATTAGTTTTAATTTACTATCAAATCTTTGATATTAATGCAGGTTAACATTAATTTATACATTTTACAAATGTAACAGAATGCGGCAAACACGACATAACTTTAACAGATGGGGCTGTTTAAAATTGTATTTTACAATGACCTGTCCCTAACTTAGGAAAGGAAGTGCCACTCCATTACGGAAAATAGATGAAGGTCGTATTTATTTTCAAAATGTCTTCTGAAACTGACATTGTTTTTCAAATGAACAGTTTTGTAAAAGACAATCTGAATAAAATACAGATCTATATTTCGTTTCGTTTTTTTATGCTTTCGATGGCCTACACTACATGAAGATCTGACCAGTTGTAGTGGAAGGTCGTGTCACGGGTCGTACGAACGGCTTTTGACCCTATGACGTCAGACATTGATTAATTAATCAGCGTTGAGGTTTCTAGTGGTTTACTCATAGTTTCGTGCATCGCACGCCAAGAAGTCGCCGTAACAGATCGTTTCATTGGCTAATGCCTCACATCAATCAGAACGCGGGTTAGATAACAACTCTTCCAGATCCTAGTGTAGTAAAGACAAGTAAAACGAAATTTTGAACTATAAAAAACGAAACGAAATAGGATCTGTGTTTTAATCCGATTGTGAGAGAGGTAATGCTTGTGTAATGGAAATAGTGGATATATGCGTTTCAACCAGGGGTATGGTGAACCATGAGTTTGCATAAGGAATAAGATCCCGCCCGGGACCCCCCAAAAATTTTTATATGTGCGTGCAGGGGGAGGCGAGGTCCCTCCCAGTGCCACCAAGTAATATTTGGCTGTGTGGAACATGCTAGAGTTGATTCGGGTTAAGTATTATGACTATAATTATAATGTTGAAACTGCGTGATTTTTGCCATTTGCGAGGGGGCGCAAAAACCCAAGGTGGCACAAAAACTCAAAACCATGACGCAAAGCGCGTCATTGCGTCCCTCTCACTTAGCCCCTGTTGTCAACCCGGAGTAAAGTAAACTACAGCCCACTTGTTAATATATATGTGGATAAGATAACAAACGATTATTGAGCATAAACAACCGTATGTTTAGTTTTATTAACATTGTGCATTGAGTACATCATAAACAAGCGTATGTTTAGTTTTATTAACATTGTGCATGTCCATCATAAACACCAGCTGGTAATGGCGCTATCAGATTCTGTGATGCTATCTCAGTATAATAGTTAAAGTTAGATAACCTGAAATATAAACAAATTATAAAACATAAATAATAGCCAGAATAAAGACCCAGCATCATCATCCGGCAAAGTATGTGAAATGAAATGAAATGAAATGGAGTTTAACGTCCTACTGTTCTGCTCCTAACCTGGGCTAATGAAGACGGGCATACGCCATACAGTGTGCTATGAGGGAAATTTTGCCCGGACAGCGGCACTACAGCCTACTCTTATATCGAATTCCAACTGCCAAGGGATCTTTTACGTGCACGCCAATGTGTACACGGGACCTCGGTTTTTCGTTCCATCCGAACGACTAGACAGCTTTCCTTGTCAGCCCCTCCGTCCTGCATCACTGACAAGGGAGAACCACGCCGGCAAAGTATGTAGTACTTCAACCAAGCACGTTGTTTGTGTAGTGGCCTATAATAAGCAACTGGCGGGGTTTCGATTCCCCGGTTGTACGTGGCAAGGAGTAGGGTCGCCTGTACGACCTCGTGGGTTTTCTCGGGGTGCTCCGGTTTCCTCCCACTGCTAAAGACCCCTACGCGCAAGCGAATTATTGAAATAAAATTGAACCATGTGTTAGTCCCTAAATGACCTAGTTTGTGTCGAGTGGACGTTAAACAGTATTTTATACATGATAAGTATTGTTAGTAATAAATCTGTTATTATGGTATAACTTACGTGTTCCAGGAATGTGTTTTAGTATTGTATACATGATAAGTATTAGAAGTAATAGAATCTGTTATTCTAATATAAAGTTTATCAGTCTTTCTATTAAAACCATCTAACACCAGTACATCTGTAGATTTTACACCAGGTACATTTAAATTCTGTAATATTTATAAATGAAAACTACAATTATTGATAATATATACACACAGTCTGATAAACAGTCTGTCATCTGTACAGTCTGGTAAATAGTCGATCTTCTATTGAGTCTAATAAATAGCTGATCTCCAGTAAAATCTAATAAATATCGGATATCCTATACATTCGGATAAATAGTCCATCTCCAATAAAGTCTAATAAATAGTCGATCTCCTATAAATAATAATTCTCCCCTGTAATCCGATAAATAATAGATCTCACCTATAGTTTGATGAATAATAAATCTGCAGTCCAATAAATAATATATTTTTTCGCTAATGTATATTACAGCAGTGTGATAACCAGTCAGTCGTATATACATACTGATAAATAGTGTGACGTAAGCCTAAGCAAAAATAAACCTTTAATGTTGTCAGTCATAAAGCTAAATTATACCAACTTACATTCCAAGTTCTCCCTTGGTTGTCCGTCATACCACATTCAAAATGGTCACCGGTATGAAAACACCCATATGAAATTGCCCCATGCTTCACAAATGTACATTTCGGTCCATTCGGTGCTTTTGGATAAGTTGCTGTAATGAACTCATGAACTCCACGATATTTGGCAACAGTTTTAGGATCTTGACCAGTATATTCCATCATTCCCCATGAACCATATTTAGAAGGTGTTCCGGTAGATGCAAAATAGTTGAAGAATCCAGCTGCAACAAACCAATTGATACACATGAGAAACCCCACAAAAAATGCACCATAAATATTAACAAGTTTACAAGGCACAGCGTATAGTCGTTCGGATGGGACGAAAAACTGCGGTCTCGTGTGGACATTGGCGTGCACGTAGACGAACCCGTGGCAGTTAGAAGTTAGAGTAGGCCGTATCGCAGTTGTCCTGAGAAATTTTTTCTCATAGCACACTGTATCTTGTATCCCGTTTTTATTAGCCCAGTCGGAGCAGAACAGTAGGACGTTAAACCCCATTTCATTTCAAGTAATTGGAATTAAAAAATATGCAACTATCGCTTTAAGCCAGGTTCCCACTGTCGTGCGATGCGTTACGATAGGAAGGTTCCTATTGAGTCCACGATCTGGTACGTTCGGATACGTTTCGATACGATCAACACGATTGGTACGACTGGCCTTAATGTAACGCGTCGCACGATAGTGGGAAAATAGCATTACATACTAAACTTAGTCTGATTGTCTACAATTGGCTCCCTTGAGAACAGACACTAATATACCGTTCAAACGCTTATTTTTAAACCAGTTCAAAATCACCGGGGTTTTTAAGACTATAAGCCAAACCAGTTTAACTATTCTGGCCTCTTCGGTCGGAGGTTAGAGTTAACTGCACATGGGTAGACTCATATTCTTTATTCGGGTCTCGCACGCTTTCGATAAAAATGGCACTGTCTGACCCCGATATGTTCACAGGAATTTAACTTACTGCGTACTGCGCATGTACTGCGCATGCTCAAAGCAAACTGGGGACGGGACGGGGTTTTTAAGGCAAACCCGTTCGGACGGCCAAGATGAACCAGTTTAAAATAAAAAGCCTTCTCGAAGACAGGTCGCGAGCTGGGGGTTTTAAACTGGTTTATTTGACCCACGTGTGCGTTCAGACGACAAAATTAAACCAGTTTAACTTAAGCGTCTAAACCAGGCATATCAAGTTAGTTGATTTTAGTCAAAAACACTAAGTATACTTTGAGAATTTTGTTGAGTATATATTCCGCTTCCATTTAATAAAATTGAAAAACTTTATTAAGTCTTTGTGTGTATGACAGATGTGAAACCGAGATGAACCGCATTACAAAACAGTATACTAATGTTTAGATATGGCGGCCATTTAGGGCAGAGATCTATTCTCGAAGTATAAAGTAGATGGAACTCTGTGTGAAGAATGCCAAGAGTATACCCATCTCCCTGTCAGCAATCTAATTAAAACACAGATCCTATTTCTTTTCGTTTCTTATGTTTCAAAATATCGATTTACTTGTATTTAGTACAATAGGATCTGGAAGAGTTGTTATATTACCGGCGTTTTGGTTGAAGTGAGGGATCAGCCAATGAAACGGTCTGTTACGGCTACTTCTTGGCGTGCCATGCACGGAACTGTGGGTGAACCACTAGAAACGTCAACACTGATTGATTAATCAATGTCTGACGTCAAAGGGCCAAACGCCGCTCGTACGACTCCTGACACGACCTTCCAGTACAACTTGTCAGATCTTCATGTAGTGTAGGCCATCTAAAGAATCAAAAAACGAAACGAAACGAAATATAGATCTGTATTTTAATCAGATAGCACTGTCAGATATATGTATTGGGTTTTATTTATACGATCTTACCGTCTTTATTGATTGGATCAGTGGCAACTATTCTGTTCCATAATTTTAAAATATCCTCCACACTTTCTGCCATCAGTGGATCTTTATTAAAAGCGACAGCTTTGGCGGTTGTATTGTCATGAGCTTGTCCGAAATGTTGAATAGCACTATTCTCCATCACCCCTGGTCCACCTTCGTACATACCCAGCTGAACACCGTGGTCCTAAAATAACAGCAACAAGAGAGAGAGTGGGGGTGTTTAACGTTCACTCGACAAAAACTAGGTCATTTCGGGACTAACGTATGGTTCAATTTTATTTCTATAACTCGCTTGAGCGTAGGGGTCTTTAGCAGTGGGAGGAAACCGGAGGACCCGGAGAAAACTCAGGCGAGCGGTGAATCGAAACCACGCCAGTTGACTCAATGACAGACCTTATGATACAACAATTCGCCCCCCCCCCCCAACAGCAACAAATATTCAGATTTATCCTGTCCTTTTTAGGAGTAAGCTAAAGGTCCGAGAGATAAGAATATGACCGAGTTCTAATGTATATATATATATATTAATGCCAATCTGATTGATACATAGATCCTATTTCGTTTCGTTTTTTACAGTTCAAAATGTCGTTTTATTTGTCTTTACTACACTTGGATCTGGGAGAGTTGTTATATAAGCCGCGTTCTGATTGATGTGAGGGATTGGCCATTGAAACGATCTGTTACGGCGACTTCTTGGTGTGCGATGCACGGAACTATGGGTAAACCACTAGAAACGTCAACGCTGATTGAGTAATCAATATCTGACGACATAGGGTCAAAAGCCGCTCGCACGACCTAGGACGCGACCTTTTACAACAACCGGTTAGATCTTCATGTGGTGCAGGCTATCGAAAGTATTAAAATGAAACGAAATATAGAACTGTATTTTTATCAGTTTGGTACCTAGTTACGACAGGATAATGATTAAATCTGAAACAACGAACCTTAGCCACTTGCAGATAATGTTTAAACTGATCTTCTTTTTTGGGCAGTTCATTTTTACAATATTTCTGTATTTCTGCCATGGTCATGTGTGGTAACTCTGTCGCCTGCGAATATAAACGAGCGTAGTTTTCTTTAAACAATAGAATGAGCCTATAATATGAGAGAGAGAGAGAGAGAGAGAGAGAGAAAGAGAGAGTCGGGCTTAAGTTTTATTTCAATAATTCGCTCAAGCACAGGTTCTTTTAGCTGTGGAAGGAAACCGGGGGACCCAAAGAAACCCTACTCCTTGTCACGTACAAGCGGGGTATCGAAACCACGTCGTTTGACTCAATGGCAGACCTTGTGATTTTAAGCGCACGCGTTATACCACTAAATCATTCAATCCCCCCCAACACCCCCGCTTATAATGTGACCTCTCTCCACGGGATTAAGCCATTATACCATGCACCACCACCCCCAACCCCTCCGCTTATAATGTGACTTCTCTAGCGCTGTGTATCAATTCTTCAGATTAAGAAGTGTTATAACTTTAGATAAATTCTATCTTAAAACACAATAACATAAACTTACATTTTTACTTGCTACTCCTAAACAGCTGAAGTAACCAGTTATTGCAATGAGTTTAAATTTTTGAATTCGTGCACCAAGATCTTCAAGTGCCTGACGATAATAATCCTGATAACCTGTTTGCCATGTCCACAATCCATTAACTCTTGAAGACTCTGTCCCGAACACCTGAATAATATGATACAGACTATAGTTGGCTAAACCAATAAAAACCATTGTTACAAATTATTCAGAACAAGTTATCATTTCATTTAAAATTTGGGTTAATGTTTTGCTTTGTCGAGACTGTCAATCATAGCATAATGATGGTTTCGGGTGCATTTGGCGGTGTTGATGTTGTTGTTACTGTTGTTGATGTTGTTGTTACTGTTGTTGATGTTGTTGTTACTGTTGTTGGTGTTGTTGTTGTTACTGTTGTTGATGTTGTTGTTACTGTTGTTGATGTTATTCTTCCTGATGATGATGACGATGATGATGAAGATGATGATGATGATGATGATGATGTTGATGTTGTTGTTGATGTTATTTTTAAGGTAGCAATTGTTTAAATTTTAGGAATTAATATTCAATACTATGCAATACTAATGTTTAATACTATATTAATATTCAAGGGGTTCTGTGAATAAATTTGGTTTAGAAAAAAAATACTATTCATAATTGTAACTTTTTTATAAAAGTTTAGTCTACCTTTTTCCAAATGTCCATTATTTCTGCTGATCGTTGATTATAATATTTCATCCCAGCTCTGTAACCTTGTGGATCTAATTTCAGAGCCATTCCCTTTTCTCTTGTATATTTCGTTTGTCTAAATATACCATTCCATACTTCATTAGAATATTCAACAAATATCTATAATAAAAATATAAATATTTTATTGAGTAGGCAACATCCTATATAAAACAGGGGCCTTCTATACATTGTCGAGGTTAAAAGCTAATACAGTGAGAGGTGTCTCTCTCTCTCTCTCTCTATCTCTCTCTCTCTCTCTCTCACTTTCTCAGACATGAGGGCAGACAGGAAGGAAACAAGAACGATCGTACTGTGGACCAGGAACAGACCATTTTGTTGGATGAAATTCAAAAATCTAATTCACCAAATCTATACAGAATGGTTCAAAGAACAAGCATGCCCAAAGTTTCATATCAATCGGACTTGAAATGACGAAACCTTAGGCTTTATATTAACAGCGTCACTCCGCGAAGAGTCGTAGATAGCCACCAGTTCCTGGTCCAAAAAGAAATAGATAGCCACCAGTACCTGGTCCAAAAAGAAATAGATAGCCACCAGTTCCTGGTCCAAAAAGAAATGCGAAGGAATATTAAAGGAGCTAAATCGCTAATATTTGGGATCTAGAAATGGACACAAATGGGTCGCAACGCATATAATAATGTAATATGAATGTAAATAAACTGATTTACATTCAATCGTTTCTGTTTTTATGTTCGGCGAAATACACCAGACGTGTCTCCCTCGAATGGCAATCTCTTGCGTCTGATTATTCCAATCTACACCGATAGTATTTATTATGCATGCTGTCCATAGAAGAATATGGCTTAACGGTTCGACATGACTTGCGGAACATGTCTAGCCTCCTTCTTCGAGCCCCTTGTTACAAATGGCGCCGAAACTCATTCTGGTACACGATTCGTGTACAAATTGTAAAATGTTTATTTTGTCATAAACATAGGCTATCAGAACCCCATGTTTTCCCGGTAAGATCACCACATCAATGTTGATTTAAACCGACAAATAAATCGTGTTTTCAATGTCGAAGATTTTGAATGATATTGAGTTAGAGACTTAGCTACTTTAAGTGCACATAAAGTAGCTTTGGTTTTTCTCCAAATACTTAAATAGATTTGTAGTTGGTACTTTTAAGTCTGGACGTAATTTTTAACCATGTGGTATATATTAAATATAATATAATATTACCTTTAAGTCTGGACGTAATTTATTTTTAACCATTTGAGCAAATTGTTGTATATAATTATCATCAGCAGCATGAGGCATACAAAACCATGGATTAGTTCCTAATCTATTACTTATATCTATCATATATTCTAATGCTCCACCTTGATTACCTGCTTGTGTATGGAAATAGGGATCGTGTCGACTACTCCATGTTGTTGGTTCAGGCTAAAAAAGATGAAAATCATCTACAAGTTATATCAATTTTACCAACTTTTGGTGCTAAATAATAAACTACTAAAAAAAAAAGTAGTATGATGTTTCTAGTGGGTTAAAACCAACAGTTCCGTGCACCTCACACCAAACACTCGCCGTAACAGGCCTTTTCATTGGAAAATTCCATACATCATCCCGAAAGTGAGTTACATAACAATTCTTCCAGACCTTATGACGTCAGACATTGATTAACCAGCCAGCGTTGATGTTTCTAGTAGGCTACCCACAATCAAGAACTCTCTGCAAAAGAACGTTTCATTGGCTAAACCATTACATCAACCATAACACGGGTTATATAACAACTCTTCCAGATCCTAGTGTAGTAAAGACAAGTAAAACGAATTTTTGAACTATAAAAAACGAAACGAAATAGGATCTGTGTATTAATCAGATTGCTTAATATTCTACCGCTTCTCTTCTGTGTCAAATTGTATTGGACGTTAAATCTGTAATAAACAACAACAACATCCAAGTGTAGTAAAGACAAGTAAAACGACATTTGGAACTATAATAAACGAAACGAAATAGGATCTGTGTTTTCATCCGATTGGCATTAACATATATATACATTAGAACTCGGTCATTTTGGCCATGATGTCGATTACATACTTACCCCGTGACCATTTGTAGCATAAAAATCCATATATCGTATTTCCGAGTATCTTTTTATACTTTCTAAAAATAGCGGATGAAATGGAAATCTGTCGTTAACTTGTTCGTAGCCTGGAGGTAAAAATCTTAAATTTCTTAATGGACTTTTAGGGTTCACGTTTCTAACAATTATCAATATTCCTCCTTTTCCGATATTATTGAAATTTACAACCATACGACCTGTAAGAAAATGAAATGGGGTTTAACTTCCTACTGTTCTACTTCGATTGGATTAATAAGGGAATTTTGCCTGGATAGCGGCACTACGGCTTATTGTTATTTCGAATTCCAGGTGCTAAGGGATCTTTTACGTGCTTGCCAATGTGTACACGGTTTTTGGTCTCATCCCTATCAGTGATTGTATCCGCCTAGCGAATATAGATTCAATGGCATACTTATCTGAAATGAAATGAAATAGGGTTTAACGTCCTACTGTTTTGCTCCGAACTGGGCTGATGAAGACGGGCATACGACATACACTGTGCTAAGAGGGAAATTTTGTCCGGTTAGCGGCACTACGGCCTACTCTTATATCGAATTCCAACGGCCAAAGGATCTTTTACGTGCATGCCAATGTGTACACGGGACCTCGATTTTTTTTATCCCATCCGAACGACTATACGTTGTCCCTAGTCAGGTCCTCTGTCCAGCAACAGTGATTAGGAGCAATCACGCCTGAAAAATCCGATGAAATTCCTCGATCAACGCAGGGATCGATTACAGGGCCTTACTCACTGGCTCTCCGATCGGTAAGAAAGATCGGGAATGATTTACCGGTATTCCACACAAACCTTTCTATCTTACACATTTGAAAAATCTGATTGAAACATCTAACTTATCTCACTGTACGGCGAAGAAAGAACCATATAATCCGTGTTAACTTTAACATTAAATGTAATATATATATATATATATATATATATATAGAGAGAGAGAGAGAGAGGAGGGAGAGAGAGAGAGAGGGGGAGAGAGAGAGAGAAATGGGGTTTAACGTCCACTCGATACAAACTAGGGCATTTCGGGACTAACGTATGGTTTAATTTTATTTCAATAATTCGCTTGCGCGTAGGTATCTTTAGCAGTGGGAGGAAACCGGGGGACCCGGAGAAAAACCACGAGGTTGGACAGGCGATCCTAATCCTTGTCACGTACAACCGGGGATTCGAAACCACGCCAGCTGACTTAATGAAAGACCTTATGATACAACGCGCACGTGCTAACCATTCGGCCACCCAAATGTATTAGATATAAATTGTAATGGTATGACTCAATATAAGATTTTAGAGGCACAATAGAATTATTCACCTTTACTGTGGTAAAGAATAGTATTATGTGTTAGACCAAAACTGACTTCTCCATCTCCATCCCATAAAATAGTGTAATTTCCTCTTTCTTCATGAAGCCCAAAATTTCTGTATACCAATTTAGCCACTTTCAGCCCTTCTGTATTTTAAAAAATGTAATGATTGTATTTTTTATATATCAAAAAAACAACAACAAAAAAAACAAAGAAAACAAAACAAAAAACAGGATGTAATGCAATTATTTTCAAAACGTATAAGCGCATTGAGTGGTCAACGCTGATTTGACGTTAATTCACTATTATTATATTCAAAATGACATTTTCAAATTTGATTGGATACAAAATCTTAATACTAGTTTCCCCACTATCACGATTCGTGCTGCGATTGAAATCGTGGTTTTAATTGTGAAGTAATCGTAGTGATCCTATCAGGTCTTATCATATATTGAGGTCAGTCGTAGCAATTGTGTTGGTCGTATCGTAACGTATTGGAACGTATCGTAACGTATTGGAACGTATCGTAACGTATTGGAACGTATCAGAACGTATCTGCACGTATCAGATCGTGGACTCAATAGGGACAATACTATCGTAACGTATCGCATGACAATGGGAACATTTACCCTTAGTAAGTCTAAAATTGCTTAAAGTTGCAATTTCATATTTTTAAGTTATATTTTTAAAATGTATTAAAATAAAGCCTTAAAATAGATGGTATCTATAAACAGTCCTACCTTGTTAAAGAATAATACTATTAATCCTATAATTCACTATTGCCAGTTGAGAACTTGGCAAAAATATCATTTTCATCTTTAAATTCAAACGTTTGAAGATAGCTACTCCATGGTGGAGAATAGAAAACAAGGGAGGTAATTGGGGGGGTAATTGTGTTATTATTTCCGGTGTAAATGAGTTTTAAGTGTGAGAATGATCCCTATGATCGTATAATAGTGAGTTGACAACCTATTGAGCAAAAGACATAGAAATAATTATGTTTTGACTTTCTTAGAAAATATGAAATTGTAACTTTAAAACTATGCTATTATTTAAAATTTAATAGACCAATTATCTCTGTGTGGGCGGTAGGCCTTATGCCTCTTCAAATTTTATATCCCCCCCCCCCTTTCTTTTTTTGTAGATCCTTAATTACACATACCACTTAATTCAGCTGGATAACCAGTTGACATCCATTTTATTTTATCCTGTTCTTTGGTATCCCATGCTTTAACACCATCTCTTTGAGTTATCCATTCCTGGGACTGTTTGGCTATATCAACAAACTTTACTTCAGATGAATAATAATTTATTCCTCCCAGATTTATTCCAACTTTCACTCCATAATTCATCATACTGTATATACAGAATTGAAATAAGACATATCATAGGTTATTAGCTATCAGTATAATACACATAATTACACATACTGTATAATATATAGATTTTAAAAAAAACATATCAGTCATAGGTTACCAGAAAACAGAACAATACATATCACTTGTATTATTACAAGGCATGTCAGTCATATGTTACCAGCTATCAGTACAATACATATCAGCCATATGTTACCAGCTATTAGTACAAGTCATATGTTACCAGCTAACAGTACAATACATATCAGCCATAGGTTACCAGCTATCAGTACAATACATATCAGCCATAAGTTACCAGCTATCAGTACAATACATATCAACCATAGGTTACCAGCTATCAGTACAATACATATCAACCATAGGTTACCAGCTATCAGTACAATACATATGAGTCATATGTTACCAGCTATCAGTACAATACATATCAGCCATAGGTTACCAGCTATCAGTACAATACATATCAGCCATATGTTACCAGCTATTAGTACAATACATATCAGCCATAGGTTACCAGCTTTTGGTACAATGCATATCAGTCGGGTTACCAGCTATTAGTACAATACATATCAGCCATAGGTTACCAGTTATTAGTACAATGCATATCAGTCGGGTTACCAGCTATTAGTACAATACAGTTGGGGGGGGGGGGGGTAGTTAGCGAGTGCACAGTGTATCATACGCTCTGTCATTGAGTCAACTGGCATGGTTGTACGTGACAAGGAGTAGAGTCGTCTGTCCAATTTCTTGGGAATAATTATTATTTGCTGAATTTTGAACATGTATTTTGTTAAGTACCCAACTGATATATAAACTTTCATTTTAGGGTCGTATGTGATTATAGCTGAAACTTACATTTTAGGGTCGTATGTGATTATAGCTGAAACTTATATTTTAGGGCCCTATGTGATTATAGCTGAAACTTACATTTTAGGGTCGTATGTGATTATAGCTGAAACTTACATGTTAGGGTCGTATGTTGAACAATCTTGTCCTTTATATCCATTCCAACATTGACATTGTCCATTTTTACAATTTCCCATCTTACAAGGAAGTTTACAACCACATTCACCAGGAGCAATACATTTACCACCTGTCGTAAAAATTACATTTACCGTAGTTAGTGTTGAAATAAACCACATTCACCAGGAGCAATACATTTAACACCTGTCGTAAAAATTACATTTACCGTAGTTGATGTTGAAATAAACCACATTCACCAGGAGCAATACACTTAGCACTTGTCGTAAAATAGAATGAGATATATGATGTAAAGTTTTGATTCGTATTTATTCGACCCTCTGACACAACATACTTTCAATAAAAACATCAACTTTGTGAACTCAGTATTTTGAAAATATACATTTACCATCTGAACAATGACAAATCCTATACTCACCACCCTACCCCATCTTTAAAGTAGTTAATTTAAAACAGAATATTCTTTATGTATATAGTCAAACCAAGAAAAATATTGATACATATTTTATTGAAATCAACAAACGGAGATTTAATTAGAGTAAAATTAGCTTGTGTTGTTTAATTGTTGATATTGTATAGTGAAATGAAGGATTACCATCTGAACAGTGACAATCCCAAACACATTGACTACCATCCCATCTCCATCCTTCTTCACATTGACATGAATTATCTAAAATATAAAATTATCAATAAAATATAGAATTATCTAAAATATAAAGTTATCAAAAAAATATAAAATTATCTAAAATATAAAATTATCAAAAATATAAAATTATCAATAAAATATAAAATTATCAATAAAATATAAAATTATCAATAAAATATAAAATAATAATAAATTATAAAATTTGAATAATTTGTAAATCAAATGTGTTTAGGCGCTCCTTGTCTCGATTACATGTTTTTTTTTAATTCTGGAAGGGGGGGGGGTCTAGAGGGTTAACGAGTGTACGTTAAATCACAAGTTCTGTATTTGAGTCGAGTGGCGTGGTTTCGATTCCCCGCTTGGGCGTGACAAGGAGTAGAGTCAACTGTCGAACCTCGTGAGTTTTCTCCGGTTTCCTCCCACTGCTAAAAACCCCTATAAGCAAGCGAATTATTGAAATAAAATTGTTAATATTATCTATTGCCCTTAACACAGCCCCTGTCAAATTCTACTTTGCATTCCGAAATAAAAAAGTAACCCTATTCATACAAAGTGATGTTGATGGTAAAGCGGGTATGTGTTTAATAAGATGCGGTTCGACTTCTCAGTTCCGATTATCTATAGGTGCTAGCGGCTGTCATGCATCAGATGGGATATGTTTACTTATTTTACAAAACCCGGGAAACTTTATTGTCAACGTTTTGTATTATAAATACCTTTTAGACATACACCATGTCCATTACAGCCACAATCAACATTACAGTCAGTTCCATAAAAACCATCATAGCACGAACAGCTAGATTTAGCTTGATTACATATTCCATTGTAATGACAGTTATTAGGACATGCTGCTAATGTCGTACTAAAATATACAAATTACAGGCGGTTTTAGTCTGCTTACAGGTACCATTATTATACAAAATACAGGTACCTTTATTATACAAAATACAGGTACCATTATTATACAAAATACAGGTACCTTTATTACACAAAATACAGATACCTTTATTACACAAAATACAGGTGAATTTAGTTTGGATACATACAATCTGATTAAAAATACAGATCTATATTACATTTCGTTTTTTATACTCTTGGTGGCCTACACTACATGAAGATCTGATCAGTTGTACTGGAAGGTCGCGTCAGGGGTCGTAGGAGCGAGTTTTGACCCTATGACGTCAGATATTGATTAATCAATCAGCGTTGACGTTTCTAGTGGTTTACCCACAGTTACGTGCATCGCACGCAAAGAATTCGCCGTAACAGATGGTTTCATTGGCTAATCCCTCACATCAACCAGAACGCCGGTAAAATAACAACTCTTCCAGATCTTATTGTAGTAAAGACAAGTAAAGCAAAATTTTGAACTATAAAAAACAAAACGAAATAGGATCTATGTTTTAATCAGATTGGGTTACATAATTTATACAAGATGCAGCTGGGTATAACTTGATTTCACAATTATAAATAACAGCTATGGGATATTAATAACGGTTAAAACACAAATTCCATTGATGTATTTGTATTTATATTCCCTCTTCGTGATTTGTGCTTGTATCGACAAAGAAATACTTGTCGAAACGTAGCACTTAATGTTACCAAATAATAAAACTTGGGTTTAGATAGATACTATATTATTGTAAAATAACAGTTATTAGGAGTTATTACTTTTAGACACCACACATCTAGAATTAACTTGATTACATACTAATAAATTAATATTGATTAGAAAAGACTAGAAATTGACTCAGCACATCTAGTTTGAATACATATTAATATGGTAATGACACATCTAGAATTAACTTAATTACATTTTAATATATGTACAATTATTAGAAGAGACTACTAATGGAGTGAACACATCTAGAAATAACTTGATTACATGTTAATACGACAATATTTATTAGAAGAGACTACTAATGGACACAACTTGATTACATACTAATAAGGCAATAACACATCTAGAAATAAACTTCATTTCATACTAATATCGTAACAGTTATTAGGAATTAGAATTAACTTAAACATGCATTATGCAAGAGCTAAATATGTCTATTGCAGGCCTTTCTTTATTGTTATCTAAATTATTAATTAGACATTAATTAACTTATCCAGACCATAATCAACTCTAGATGGCATATCTAGCCTGCGATCTTAAGTGGACTGTGGGCCGATTTACTGCATAACTTTCCTTCTAGATTGAACGATTAAATGGATAATCGAGACTATGCTGTTTATCGTACTGACTTTAGTAATGATGACCGATGCTAGGCAGAAATTTCATTCGCTTAGTTCTCGATTCATAGTGGATCAATTTGAATGAAATTTTCAGCAAATTGCCATTACATTATCTAGATTTTAACTATTATAGTGAGACCTGCCAACTCGTTATCGAATGTATTTTTAATTACATACTAATATAACAACAGTTATTAGAAGATAGTACACCACATCTAGAATCAGCTTGGTTGCATTCCTACAATATACTAGATATGGATTGATTGCATACCATTATAGCAACTGTTATTAATGAGTTTAAACATTATATCGATAAGAAAAACAAAATATTAGATTCGTACCTTAATCCAACAAGCAACACTATAAATCTAGCCTTGTCCATGTTAGACAGCCACAGGATCTTAATTTATTTTGTTTATATCTTCTCCTTTATGGCCTGAAATCAAACGTGCTGCATATTTTTGTATGTGAAAGTTTGTTTAGTTTGAATGATAAAGCATGACATGTTAGAACCATCTGATATATTTCCACGCCACAATTTGTTCTGTTTAATCTTATCAATAAATAATACAGCTAATACCAAAGACGAACAAACATTTTTTTTGTTACCAACGTGATCGCCTCAAATATTCTTAAAAGGTCAGCCTTTTTCTACAACCGTTCCTTAATTTTTGCTAAAAAAGGATGCAGATGGGGATTTAATCTGCTGTTTTATTTTAAACATATAACAAATAATTTATAATAAACAGTCGGTGCCTCCCTACCATTTTTCACTAACGTTCTTTTAATTTAGAATTATTTATGAAAGACGGGTTCCCTCCCTTTAAGACACAGTAAAGGAATAATAGGCTAAAACAGATTGTTCCCAATATTGAAATGAAATGAAATGGGGTTTAACGTCCTACTGTTCTGCTCCGACTGGGTTAATGAAGACGGGTATACGCAATACAGTGTGCTATATGGGAAATTTTGCCCGAACAGCGGCGCTATGGCCTATTCTTATATCAAATTGCATTGTCAAGGGATCTTTTACGTGTACGCCGATGGGGGGGGGGGGAATTAAAGTCCACTCGACACAAACCAGGTCATTTCGGGACTAACACATGGTTCAATTTTATTACAATAATTCGCTTGCGTAGGACAGGCGACCCTACTCCTTGTCACGTACAACGATATTAAGTGATTTTAAAGTTCTCCGCTATCTGTCATATGAGCTCTATCTAACTGATTAACCATCTGGGCATTTATTATCTATTATATATGGAAACAAAATAGATAAACGTCGAAGGTCTATATTACTGGAATTATTTATAATAAAAGATCGGAGAGGGAATGGGTGTAATGGAGTGTATTGTAATATTTCTGTTATTGGGCATCAGGTAGGAAATCTATCTGTATGACAGTAGTAGATTATTAGCTGTTTCTCTTTTAATAATATCTATCTATCTATACTAATATTTGTGACTGTCATTTGTCTGTCTGTTTGTCTGTCTGTTCGGGGTTGGCGGCTACACTAGGTCTGCCCTGAGTCTGAAATTTGGTTTATAGGGGTAGCTCTGACCGGGAAGAAACATAGGCCAGGTGGCGTTAGTCTACCACTTCCGGTTTCGGGGTTATGACCCCCGAGCGAAGCCGGGCATTCTTCTAGTATTATATAAATTACTTCCTTGACGAAAATTCAATCTGATTAAAACAAAGGTCCTATTTCTTTTCGTTTTTATTTTATAGTTCAAAATTTCGTTTTACTTGTCTTTACTGAAAGAGTTGTTATATAATCCGCGTTCTGGATGATGTGAGGGATTAGCCAATGAAACGGTTTGTTACGGCGAGTTTTTGGCGTGAGGTGCACGGAACTATGGGTAATCCACTAGAAACATTAACGCTGACTGGTTAATCAATATCTAACGTCATAGGTCGAAAAGCCGCACGTACTATAGCTGAAGCGACCTTCCACTACAACTGGCTTGATCGTCATGTGGTAGAGGCCATCGAAAGTATAAAAAAAAACGAAACGAAATATAGATCTGTATTTTTATCAGATTGGAGGAAAATCCAATTTATTTCAAAGACTTAATTAATATATTTTAGTGCCATGTTAGTTGCGTGTGTGTGAATTATCTTTATTTAACGTCCGCGTCCACCGAAGTGATATCGCAGGTCCTAAAAACTGTTATCATAAGCTGCATTTAGATTTTTTTTTACCATGTTATTATTATGTATCCAAACTAAATTCACCTGTAATTATAAGCTCTAACCTAAATCCGCCCGTATTTTGTATATTTTAGTACCACGTTGGCAGCAGAATCTATTTACTGTTATCATAAGCTGCATTAAACAGACATTATGCAAGAACTAAATCTGCCAAACAACAGGTCTTTCTTTAGACCTTAAATGTTATATAAACTTTTAATTAGATATTTATTAACATGACAAGGCCATAATCAACTGTCGATGTCATCGCTAGCCTGCGATATTTACAGGATTATAATTCGATCTGATGCTCAACGCTCATTCATGATTAAATACAAAAATGAATAATCGAGACTATGTTTTTTATCGTACCAACTTTAGTAATGATGATCGAGGCTAGGCCCAAAATTCAATCGCTAAATTTTCGGTTCAGAGTGGATCAATTTGACTGAAATTTTTATTTTACCAAATTCGCTTTACATTATGCCAGCTCTTTATCCAATCTCCCATAATCTTTAATATTTATTTTTGTATATTTTAGTACGACATTAGCAGCGTGTCCTAATAACTGTCATTACAATGGAATATGTAATCAAGCTAAATCTCGGTGTTTATGCTATGATGGTTTTTATGGAACTGACTGTAATGGTGATTGTGGCTGTAATGGACACGGCGTATGCCTAAAAGGTATTTGTAAAAAATTTATACGCGTTTTTGTAAGTACAGTAAATGTTAAAAGTATATTTCTTCTCCATACAACCAAATGAAAATGAAATGGGGTTTAACGTCTTACTATTCTGCCCCTACTACGGACATACGCCATACAGTGTGCTATGAGAGATGTTGATTTTATTAATAATTTTATATTTTATTGATAATTCTATTTTTTATTGATAATTTTATATTTTAGATATTGATAATTTTATATTTTAGATTTTAGATATTGATAATTTTATATTTTAGATAATTCATGTCAATGTGAGGAAGGATGGAGATGGGATGGTAGTCAATGTGTTTGGGATTGTCACTGTTCAGATGGTAATCCTGCATTTCACTATACAATATCAACAATTAAACAACACAATGCAATTTTACCCTCATAAGTCTCCGCCCGTTGATTTTAATTCAATATTTGTCTTGGTCTGACTATATACATAAAGACTATTCTGTATTACATTAACTACGGTAAATGTAATTTTTATGACAGGTGGTAAATGTATTGCTCCTGGTGAATGTGGTTGTAAACATCCATGTAAGATGGGAAATTGTAGAAATGGAGAATGTCAATGTTGGAATGGATATAAAGGACAAGATTGTTCAACATACGACCCTAAAATGTAAGTTTCAGTTATAATCACAAACGACCCTAAAATGTAAGTTTCAGTTATAATCACATACGACCCTAAAATGTAAGTTTATAAATCCTTTGGTGGAACGTTAACAACCTGTTCAAAATTAATTCAGCAGCTCGACTCATATATTATTACTGTTTACATAGTTTTCATCAATTTGAAATAAAGAATCTCCTTTGTTATACTTATGGCTTGTCGTAGGTGATGTAGTTTTGTGTTGGATAACTCCCGTTCGCATAGTATATCATGGATTCTTCGGGCACTGGACTGGGAACCACACATACTTTCATGTTGGCTGGGTGTGTTTGTATTCGTCGGTCTATGTTGGTTTACCATAGGCGTTGGGTTGGAAATTTGGATGGTGTTAGAAAGGCAGTGATTGGTCAGCCCCTGTCTCCACAGTGAACTTAATCCTGTGATGTTAATTGGACACAGCTCACCACATATTCCTACGTCGTCACCCCTTTCCCTTTTTCGCCGTTTTGCATGGCGATTTTTGTTGACCTTTTTAGTGCAGAATCGAAGAAAATGGTTTGCGATTACATTTTCTGCCAGGTTTTGGTGAATATTCATGATTTTGAGGCGGAAGGATACAAGAGTAGGTTGGTTATGTTGAAATGTAGGGTCCAAAATTGCATGTTTCTTGTCTCTACTTCCAGCTTGTGTATCTCAAGTTTTCCATGGTGAACCTCATACGTGCTTTTGAGTAAGAGTTGCCACATGTTGCTCCATCTGTGGTAAAAATTTGGGAAAAAGTTAGAGACGATCTAAGAGACGAGAATTAACATTAAAATCAATGGGGAAATCATAAGTGATCTGTGACTAATTGTACAAGTATTGTTAAAATAGACATTCTCTATGTTTTAGAATGATGAATTATGGGGTGAAAGTTGGAATAAATCTGGGAGGAATAAATTATTATTCATCTGAAGTAAAGTTTGTTGATATAGCCAAACAATCCCAGGAATGGATAACTCAAAGAGATGGCGTTAAAGCATGGAATACCAATGAACATGATAAAGTCAAGTGGTTATCTGACGGTTATCCGGCTTCTTTACCTTGTATGTGTTCAATCTTATATTCATCTATTAAATCTCATATAATGAAAATTTTCAGGCACCCACGGGTGGGGCGATTTACCCAATACTACCCAATACCAACCCATTATCACCTTAATATCACGACATATTACCCAATACTACAACATAATTATGCTAAATGGGCATATTTTATTTAATGTTTTTCAAAAATAGTGAGTTATATCGCGGGAAATGCAATTCAAATACCGATGTCTAGTTGTTACATTCACCCGAATAAAACAAATAATAACCCAATACTACCAAATACTTATCAAATACTACCCAATACTACCCAATACTTATCAAACATTCGTTGCAATTATTATACTGATGTGTTGCTAATTGACGATATTAGTATTTTATAATATTGGGTAGTATTTCATAAGTATTTAATCTCGTTAAAATAAGAAAGCTTGATTACTCCCATAAACATATCGGGAGATACTTATTCCAGGCCGGTTGGGGAGGTTCGGAAATTTCCGGGGTCTAAAATGCCCGTTTTATATAAATGAGTATTTAGGAGAATACTAACCCTAACCTTTTTTTAGAAGACTAAACTTGGATCCAATTTACCTTTTACCCTTCTTAAAAGGGTCAGGGTTAGGGCTAGTATTCCCCAAAAGTTATATAAAGCGGCCTTTTTGGACTCAGAAAATACCCGAACCTCTCCAACCGGCCTACAAATAGCATCTACCGGCTACGTGGCGTTTGGCCTACAACTTCCGGTTTCCCCAACCGACCTACAAATAGCATCTCCCAAAATATTATTTATTTTGTATTTTATTGTAGCTGGGGGGGGGGGGGGGGCGAATGGTTAGCACGTGCGTCCTGTATCATACGGCCTCTCATTGAGTCAACTGGCGTGGTTTCGAATCCCCGGTTGTACGTGACAAGGAGTAGGGTCGCCTGTCCAACCTCGTGGGTTTTCTCCGGGTCCTCCGGTTTCCTCCCACTGCTAAAGACCCCTACACACAAGCGAATTATTGAAATAAAATTTAAACCATATGTTAGTCCCGAAATGACCTAGTTTGTGTCGAGTGGACGTTAAACCCCATTTCTCCCTCTCTCTCTAACCCTAACTTTTTTTTTTAGGACTATGAACTTGAACCCAATTTAACTTTTCCCCCTCTTAAAATGGTCAGGTTTAGGGCTAGTATTCCCCAAAAGTTATATAAAGCGGCCATTTTGGACTCCGGAAATTCCCGAACCTCCCCAACCGGCCTACAAATAACATCTCCCGGCTACGTGGCGTTTGGCCTACGACTTCCGGTTTCCATAACCGACCTACAAATATTAATTATTTTATATTTTATTGTAGCTAATATGAAGGTGGTTAAGTTGATATATAGAGGTTTCGGCATACACGAAGAGACAGGAAACTACACATTATTATGGGATGGTGATGGAGCAATAAGTTTTCAACTAACACGTTTTACTATTCTGTATCATAGTAAAGGTATTTTTATTTAATTTATTAAAACATGGCTTCAGTTTCATATTTTTTGTTATAGTTTAATAATTCATTATTATTAATGGTAAACACGTGCGCGCTGTATCATAAGGCCTGTGATTGAGTCAGTTGGCGTGGTTTCGTCTTCCCCGGTTGTACGTGACAAGAAGTAGGGTCACCTGTCCAATCTCGTGGGTTTTCTCCGGGTCCTGGACAGTTTCCTCCCACTGCTAAAGACCCCTAAACGCAAGCGTGTGTTAGTCCCGAAATGACCTAGTTTGTATCGAGTGGACGTTAAACCCCCTCTCGCGATTTCACTGATGTCGCGGTCATCGAGCGATTTCGTTTACTGTATATAATGCTTGCTCCATTCTGCATTATTGCTTGGTGACTTATTGTATGCAAAGTTGATTTCCGCTCATGTCGTCATGATATTCCGGTTCGATGTATTTCGAGAAATGTTTTTGGAGAAATGTTATTGAAGAAATGTTTTTGGAGAAATGTTTTGTAAGATTTGTATTTGGAGATTTGTATTTAGAAATTTGCTGTTCCAGATTTGTTTTTCGTTGTATGTCTATGATGAAATGTAAATGTAGATTATTTTTTTGATTTATTAAAATATATTTTATCTTTATAATAAAATAAAATTAAATTGAACAAAAATACATTTTACAAATCTGATATGACAAATGTCTGATTTGTAAAACAAATGTCTGATTTGTAAAACAAATGTCTGATTTGTAAAACAAATGTCTGATTTGTTAAACAAATGTCTGATTTGTAAAACAAATTTTGATTTTAAGATACAAATGTAAATTTTAGCATACAAATGTCGAAATACGACAACAAATGAAGAAATAAGAATTAGAGACTATGAATTAAGAAATTAGGACTAAGAACACTGCATAAAGAGCAGTTTGGTCTTCCATAGTTGAAACGTTACGGTGAAATAAACCATAGTAATTTTTATCCATAAATAGTGTGTTATTTGATTATGTTCCAATTACTAAATGTCTAGTTAGGTTGGTGATTAATATAATAAATGTAGGGGATCACGTGGCTAAGTGGATAAGACGCTGGCTCGCTAGCCTGGAAGTCGGGTGTTCGATCCCTGCACTGGCCGAGAAAGTTCATCCAGATTTTCCAGCGTGGTCCCCCCTTGTCAGTGATGCAGGACGGAGGGCCTGACAAGGACAGCTGTCTAGTCCTTCGGATGAGACGAAAAACCGAGGTCCCGTGTATACATTGGAATGCACGTAAAAGATCCCTTGGCAGATGGAATTCGATATAAGAGTAGGCCGTAGTGCCGCTGCCCGGGCAAAATTTCCCTCATAGCACACTGTATGGCGTACGCCCGTCTTCATTAGCCCAGTTTAGGAGCAGAATAGTAGGACGTTAAACCCCATTTCATTTCATTTCATTTCAATATAATAAATACCTCACTTAAAGGACAATATTGGTGCCAGTCATTATCACATATGTGATAGAGCTGGTTAAACACATTCCAAATATTATTAGTGAGCAGAAATTCGGCCGTGTATCTGTTATCACTCGTCACATCAGTCAGTTATATAGAGGGATTACTCGTGTTTTCCTTTGGCGTTCGTCACTTCCGATTCAGGAAACCTGTATTACTCAGCTATCGTAGCAATGATCTCTGTGTTAAAATTATATTTGAAATGTGTTTAACCAGCTCTATCACATATGGGATAATGACTGGCACCAATATTGTCCTTTAATATCTTACAGGACGAATGGTGGTTAATTTTCCAACTATTAAAGCAGGAGGTATAGGCATCACCATTAGAGACGTCAATCCTAAACATCCATTAAGAAATCTTAGATTTCTAGCGCCAGGATACGAGCAAGTTAACGACAGATTTCCATTTCACCCGCTATTTTTAGAAAGTATAAAAAGATACTCGGAAATACGATATATGGATTTTTATGCAACTAATGGTCACGGGGTAAGTGATGACTAAATCTATTTGTTAAGGCCAGGTCAATTTTCGTCAAGGTGGCTGAGATGGAAATAAGGTTAGGGCACGTGATTGTAGGTTAGGGTTAGGGTAAGCATTGGGGCTATGTCTTGGGTTTGGGTTAGGTTTAGAAATTTTGTACTTTCGATGGCCTACACTACGTGCAGGTATGACTAGTTGTAGTGGGAGGTCGCGTCAGGGGTCACACGAGCGGCTTTGACCCTATGATGTCAGACATTTAATTAACCAATCAGCTTTGATGTTTCTAGTTGCTTACCCACAGTTTCATGCACCTCACGTCAAAACCTTGCCGTAACAGAACGTTTCATTGGCTAATCCCTCACACATCATTCAGAACGAGGGTTACGGCGATTGGGTAACCCACTAGAAACATCAAGGCTGATTGGTTAACCAAGTGTCTAACGTCATAGAGTCCAAAGCCGCTCGTGTGACCCCTGACGCGACCTCCCACTACAACTTGTAGTATGGGCCACTGAAAGTGGGCCCTATAAAAAAAAAACGAAACGTAATACAGATCTGTATTTGAACAGATTGTTTAAAAATATTTGCTTTTTTTTTAGCCTGAACCAACAACGTGGAGTAGTCGACACGATCCCTATTTCCATACCCAAGCAGGTAATCAAGGTGGAGCATTAGAATATATGATTGATATAAGCAATAGATTAGGAGCTAATCCATGGTTTTGTATGCCTCATGCTGCTGATGATAATTATATACAACAATTTGCTCAAATGGTTAAAAATAAATTACGTCCAGACTTAAAGGTAATATTATATTACATTTAATATATATTTAACATATATCACATAGTTAAAAATAAATTACGTCTAGAATTAACGGTTATATTATATTACATTTAATATATATTTAACATATATCATATGGTTAAAAATAAATTACGTCCAGACTGGATAATCTGGATAATCGAGACTATGATTTTTGTCGTACCGACTTAAGTAATGATGATCGAGGCTAGGTCTAAAATTCAATCGTTGAGCAGCAGATCGGATTCAAATCCAATGAAAATCCAACACATAAGATGGCATCGAGAGTTGATTAAGATCTTTTCATGTTAATAAATGTCTAATTAATAGTTTATATAACATTTCAGGCCTAAAGAAAGACCTGTAATAGGCAGATTTAGCTCTTGCATAATGTTTGTTTAATATGATTAATACAATGACGTCATTATTAATGTGACGTCATAATGTATGTTTGCATAGAAATAGTCATTTATATATTTCTATGTATGTTTGATTATTCAGAGATTATTTTGTAATTGAAAAAAAAAACCGTGGTTTTAGTTATTCTAGGTTACGAATGAACTCATGTTTTTAATCTGGCGAGTAATCGGGGTGATCCTATCAGGTCTTATCATAGCTTGGGATCAGTCGTATATAACAATGGCCTTGACCTAATTGGTTCCCAAATCATAAATAACGCAATCCAATGACAATAGATGAAAGTCTGATATTTTAAAATGACCTATAGGGGAAGATTTTTATCTTTTTGGTTGTCACACGATATTGTAATTGCACTTTAAATGGAATTTTACCCGGTTGGCCGTGAAGGTCAATACCCTTATTTGGCTAATTCTTACGTCATTGTGTGTAATTGACCAATCACCTGATTAATACGAGAAATCGGGGATTATAAAAGGCCGAAATTAGGGGTTGGGATGGCCGAGTGGTATAGAGTGCCGCGCTTCGACCTCTAGCTGGCCGGTCACCTCTGTCTTACGGCTGGTGTGAGCGCATGTGGCTTGGAAATAGGGGCGCCTTCTCAACATCGTGGGTATACTCCGGGTACTCCGGTTTCCTCCCACAGGAAAGACCCCTGCGCGTGCGCTGAAATAATAAAAATGAAAAATAAGACTTGTCTGCGATATCACCTTCGGTGGAAGCGGACGTTAAACAATAAGAACAACAACAACAACTTCGAAAATCAGATGCCATCCACTAAGCCCCATCAACACAAGCTTGTAATCTGCATCCACCAAAGGGGGGTTGGATGGCCGAATGGTTAGCACGCGCGCGCTGTATCATACGGTCTGTCATTGAGTCAACTGGCGTGGTTTCGATTCCCTGGTTGTACGTGACAAGGAGTAGGGTCGCCTGTCCAGCCTCGTGGGTTTTCTCCGGGTCCTCCGGTTTCCCCCCACTGCTAAAGACCTCTACGCGCAAGCGAATTATTGAAATAAAATTGAACCATGTGTTAGTCCCGAAATGACCTAGTTTGTGTCGAGTTAAACCCCATCTCTCTCTCTCTCTCTCTCTCTCTCTCTCTCTCGCATCCCCAAACCCGAAGTGGTATCGAAAAGAAACACTTGTAATTGTGTGAGATGGCTTCTTGATAGCAATATGTTTGCCATTTAGGACCCCAATGGCGAGGGGATATTCCACCCATATTCAAACTTGAACTTGCAGAGACGTGAACAAAACTTCCACGGCCAATTGTCGCGTTCGTAAAATATCGCACGACAGTGGGAATCTGGCAATACCTAAAGCTAGGTTTCCACTATCACGATTCGTGCTACGATTGAAATCGTGGTTTTAATCGTGGAGTAATCGTGGTGATTCTATCAGGTTCCCACTATCACGGTTCGTGCTGCGATTGACATCGTGGTTTTAACCGTGGAGTAATCATAGTGATCCTATCAGGTCTTATTATATATTGAGGTCAGACGTAGTATTTGTGTTGGTCGTATCGAAACGCATCTGAACGTAGCTAAACGTTGCATATCGTGTACTCAATAGAGACACTCCTACCGTAACGCATCGCACGGCAGTGGGAACTTAGGATTAGTTTGTGTAACTTTGATTGTACATTTTAGAAGATATTTGTTGAATATTCGATGTGGTAAATTAGATTTGTGAATTTCATCCAACAACATGGTCAGTTCCTGGTCCACAGTACGATCGTGCTGGTTTCCTTCCTGTCTACCCTCATGTCTGAGAGACGACTACACAATAAAATATTTATATTTTTATTATAGATTTTTGTTGAATATTCTAATGAAGTATGGAATGGTATATTTAGACAAACGAAATATACAAGAGAAAAGGGGATGGCTTCGAAATTAGATCCACAAGATTACAGAGCTGGGATGAAATATTATAATCAACGATCACCAGCAATAATAGACATTTGGAACCGGGTACAATCATATAATTTTATGTAAAATATTATCATCATTGGACAGTCTTTATTCGACTTTCTTTTCATATTCCTGAAACAATGGCCCGAGACATCCCTCTGACCATTGCTTGATTGGCTTCTGATACGGTGAAAGTGTTGTTTACATTGTAACCTGTGATAACCTTAGTTTTTCTGCAATATTCTGCTATACACTGGTTAATTGTGCGTAAAGATTTCCTGAGTCATGACGTAACGTTATGCAAACAATGTGGAGCTCTGTTTAAACCCGAATGACATTGTTACGCAGTTAGGCATTGGTTGATAATCGGGCTATTGACCAGTCATAATTAGGAACAGAAATTTGCTTTCATTACAGTAGTGCTTGAGTGGAAATAGGTCTTATCAAACGAAACACGGCGAGGAGTATACAGTCTTTTGGGCTATAAAATGTATTCTAGAAAGTCGCGATCAAATTCTCCAGTAGCGGATCCAGGAATTATTGCAGGAGGGGGTTTCCCAGATTCCTGTTAAAGGGACAATACCACTCTTGTAACTGAATAATATGTCCCAATCTTTATTCTGGTCAACAAATTGTACTATTTTACAATATTCCAATTAATTGGTGATACAAATTTCATCTTAACACACCTAATTTAAAAAATTGGAAAAATTCAACTAAATGATTTGAAAAGCCTGACGTAAAGCTTTTCAAATGTGACTTGGATTTAAAAATATTTTTGAACCCTCTGGACAAGTAAAATAGGATTTAATGGAAAATTTACACAACAGATAGGACACTAACACATCTAGTCCTTAGAATAAGGCTATTTTTTATTTTCTGGAGCTGTCAAGCCAGCAAGAGTGTTATTGTCCCTTTAAGGAAATTTGACATCGTCTCCAAATTACGTAGGCATATAATCGCACTGAGGTTTTTTAAAAGAGAAATCCGTTTGACGTCCAACCGCGACAAAACTAGACGTAGAAAATGTTTTCTTTTCACCCTCACTGATACCTCCAGTGACATTTTTGCAGATACTTACTAACTAAAAGTTAGCGGTTTTATTATTTAAAAAAGCAATGGATCTGTCCACGTTCGTTCGTTCGTTCCTGGGGTTTTACGCCCGGCGTGGTTCCCCTTGTCAGTGATGCAGGACGGAGGGCCTGGCAAGGACAACTGTCTAGTCCTTCGGATGAGACGAAAACCCGAGGTCCCGTGTATACATTGGAATGCACGTAAAAGATCCCTTGGCAGTTGGAATTCGATATAAGAGTAGGCGATAGTGCCGCTGCCCGGTTAAAATTTCCCTCATAGTACACTGTATGGCGTATGCTCGTCTTCATTAGCCCAGCATAGGAGCAGAACAGTAGGAGGTTAAACCCCCATTTCATTTCATTTCATTTTGTTTTCTATTGTAGGTGTTTGGGGCTACAGCTGCTAAAAGAGTATTTGGACTATGGGCGTGGCAGACAGGCTATCAAGCTTATTACGATCGTGCTATTCAAGATCTCGGTAATAGAGTTCACATATTTAAATTTATCGCTATTACTGGCTACTTCGATTGTCAAGGTGTGGCAAAAAATCATGTAAGTTTCTACCGATGTTAATTTTTCATTTGATAACTGGTAAACGTTTTTCGCTGTGGGAGCCACGGTGGCTTGGTGTTCGAGAAAGTTTATCGAGATTTTCCGGCGTGGTTCCCCCTTTTTAGTGCTGCAAAACAGAAGGCCTGGCAAGGGACAACGTATAGTCGTTCGGATGGGCCGACATACCGAGGTCCCGTGTACACATTGGCGTGCACGTTAAAGATCCCTTGATAGTTCGAATTTGATATAAGAGTAGGCCGGAGTGCCGCTGTCCGGGTAAAATTTCCCTCGTAGCCCAATACATGGCGTATACCCGTCTTCATTAGCCCAGTCGATGCAGAACAGTCGAACCTTACATACCTTTTCATTTCATTTCTTTCGATTTTGTATTTATATAAATGAAACGCCATCTGTCGGTCCATGTTTTGAAGCATAGACTACAATATCTTATTGTATTTCCAGGGAGCCGAATTACCGAAGATGACGATGGCACAAATACAAAAGTATTGCAAAGATGAACTGCCAAAGAAAGGCGACGAATTTAAACATTACCTGCAAGTGGCTAAGGTTTATGTCATACAATTTTTATTTTGTCGTTTGTGAATCAGTCTTTACTAATTACTTTCACATTGTGTTGTAGGATATGTTTTTATTTTGTCGTTTGTGAATCAATCTTTACTAATTACTTTCACATTGTGTTGTAGGATATGTTTTTATTATGTCGTTTGTGAACCAGTCTTTACTAATTACTTTCACATTGTGTTGTAGGATATGTTTTTATTTTGTCGTTTGTGAATCAGTCTTTACTAATTACTTTCACATTGTGTTGTAGGATATGTTTTTATTTTGTCGTTTGTGAATCAATCTTTACTAATTACTTTTCACATTTTGTTGTAGGATATGTTTTTATTTTGTCGTTTGTGAACCAGTCTTTACTAATTACTTTCACATTGTGTTGTAGGATATGTTTTTAATTGTTCATTATAAAATGGCACCCGAAACCATAGGGTACTCGACTCGTGTACTGATTATAAAATATTAATATTGGATATAAGGACCCTCTAGTTTCACGACAAGATAACAACATCAATATTGATTGAAATTGATCAATATTGAATTCTAATTCGTGTTTTTAATTTCGAATATTATGGAAAATAATGAATTAGAGACTTAGCTCCTTTAAACTACATTGTATCCAATCATTGTGACATTATTAGTAAGGGAATAGTTATTGTATTTGTTTGCATGTTCCCACCAGCAATTTGTACACTAATTAATTGTTTTTAATTATCGGGGGTCACGGGGGCTAAGTGGCTTAGAAGCTGGCTCGCTAGCCCGGGGGTCGGGTGTTCGATCCCTACATTGGCCGAGAAAGTTCATCCAGACAGATTTTCCGGCGTGGTTTCCCTTTGTCAATGCTGCAGAACGGAGGGCCTGACAACGGCAGCTTTCTAGTCGTTCGGGTGTGACGAAAAACCGAGGTCCCGTGTACGCATTGGCGTGCACGTAAAAGATCCCTTGGCAGTTAGAATTCAATATAAGAGTAGGCTGTACTGCCGCTGTCCGGGCCAAATTTCCCTCATAGCGCAATGTATAGCATATGCCTGTCTTTATTACTCCAGTTCGGTGCAGAACAGTAGGACGTTAAACCCCATTTCATTTCATTTCATTTTTAATTATTAGGATCATGGTGTTCAGTTGGCAATGTATGAGGGAGGCCCATCAGTAATGGAAGGAAGCGCCATAAAGTTTTCAGGAAAAGCTAACGAGAACATAACCGCCAAAGCTATCGCTTTTAATAAAGATCCATTAATAGCAGAAAGTGTAGAAGATGTTTTAAATTTGTGGCATAAAATAGTTGCTACTGATCCCATCAGTAAAGACGGTTGGTTCTGTTTTGTCTATATTTCCATCACATGAAACGTGGGTCTTTGTTTTGCATGTCGGGGGATGCGGGGGGGGGGGGCTGAATGGTTAGCACGTGCGCTCTGTATCATAAGGTCTGTCATTGAGTAAACTGGCGTGGTTTGGATTCACAGGTTGTACATGACAAGAAGTAGGGTCGCCTGTTCAACCTCGTGGGTTTTCTCCGCATCCTCCGGTTTCCTCTCGCTGCTAAAGACACCTATACAATTGCTATGCAGCTACCAGTTTACTTATTAGGAAAACATGCCGCGTTTAGAAAGAAATTCTCAAAATTGTGTCGTTCGAAGAGTGTGTAGAATTTCCATTGCAAGGTTGAAAAAAAAAACAGCTTCAGACTTTGAAAGCTTTGTATGATAAACCATTCTTCAAAGGCGTCGTTATGGGCGACGCCGTTAGAACTTGAAAGTAGGGTACTGGAATCTGCTGAGGTTTACCGAGTGAGACACGACCAATTTTAGAAACCGTTATTCTAATTCACTTTAGGTGGATTCTTCAACTATTTTTCATCTACGGGAACACCTTCTAAATATGGTTCTTGGGGAATGATGGAATATACTGGTCAAGATCCTAAAACTGTTGCCAAATATCGCGGAGTTCATAAGTTCATTACAGCAACTTATCCAAAAGCACCGAATGGACCGAAGTGTACATTTGTGAAGAATGGGGCAATTTCATATGGGTGTTATCATACCGGTGGTCATTTTGAATGTGGTATGACGGACAATCATGGAAGAACTGTATATATGACATCGACAGTTTATAAGAATTTACAGGAGATTTGCTATTTATCAGACTGTATATAGGAGATTGTCTATTTATTACACTGTATAGGAGATTGGCTAGTTATCAGACTGTATATAGGAACTGTATATGACATCGACTATTTATTAGACTTTATAGGAGATTGGCTATTTATCACACTGTATAGGAGATATACTATTTATCAGACTGTACATATGACAGACTATTTATCAGACTGTACAGAGGACAGACTATTTATCAGACTGTGTGTATATACTCTCAATAATAGTAGTTTTCATTTATAAATATTACAGAATTTAAATGTACCTGGTGTAAAATCTACAGATGTATTGGTGTTAGATGGTTTTAATAGAAAGACTGATAAACTTTATATTAGAATAACAGATTCTATTACTACAAATATTTATCATGTATACAATACTAAAACACATTCCTGGAACACGTAAGTTATATAACAATAACAGATTATATTACTACAAATACTTATTATGTATACAATACTAAAACACATTCCTGGAACAGGTGAGTTATATAATAATAACATATTATATTACTTCTAATATTTATCATATAGAGGAGCCACGATGGCTAAGTGGGTAAGACGCTGGCTCACTATCCTGGAGGCCGCGTGTTCGATCCCTGCAATGACGGAGGGTCTGACAAGGACATATGTCTAGTCGTTCGGATGGGACAAAAAACTGAGGTCCCGTTTATACATTGGCGTGCACGTAAAAGATCCCATGGCAGTTGGATTTCGATATAAGAGTAGGCCATAAATAATATTGCCGCTGCCCGGGCAAAATTTCCCTCATGGCACACTATATGGCATATGCCCGTCTTCATTAGCCCAGTCGGAGCAGAACAATAGGACGTTAAACCCCATTTCAATTCAATCGGATTACTTTACCTGTTGTTCGTGAAGCAACGACCGCGGGTTTTACAATATCTAGTCGTTGCTAGCTTAGTCAGAAATTCCCGAACTTATACGTTATCTCCCTTTACAAATTTACCGCATAGCATACTTTATGCCGTATGCGCGTCTTCATTAGCCCAGTGGGAACAGAACAATCGGACGTTAAACTCCATTTCATTTCATTTTCACTTATCATAGGACACTATCTCACTAATACTACACAGACAACATGCTTGGTTGAAGTACAAATGTTGATTTGCTTTCTATTCTTATTGACAATTAGTGAAATATACCATCGCCCCAATCCTGATTCTCGGTCTTTATTCTGGCTATTATTTATGTATCATAATTTGTTTATATTTCAGGTTGTCTAACTTTAACTATTTTACTGAGATGACATCACAGAATCTGATAGCACCATTACCAGCTGGTGTATATGATGGACTCAATGGACATGCACAATGTTAATAAAACTAAACATACGCTTGTTTATGATAGACTCAATGGACATGCACAATGTTAATAAAACTAAACATAAGCTTGTTTATGCACAATAATCGTTTGTTATCTTATCTATAAATAAACACGTGTGCTATAGTCTAGTCGTTCGGATGGGACGAAAAACAGAGGTCCCGTGTATACATTGGCGTGCACGTAAAAATATCCCTTGGCAGTTGGAATTCGATAGAAGAGTAGGCCATAGTGCCACTGCCGGGGCAAAATTTCCCTCATAGCATATGCCCATCTTCATTAGCCCAATCGGAGCAGAACATTAGGACGTTAAACTCCATTTCAATTCAATCGGATTACTTTACCTGTTGTTCCTGAAGCAACGACCGCGAGTTATACAATATCTAGTCGTTGCTAGCTTAGTCAGAAATTCCCGAACTTATAGCTACGTTATCTCCCTTTACCAAAAACACGTGAACAATATCGTTGTCCAATCAGATGTCTTGACACAAACACACTCAAATCAAACATGGTGACCTCAACGGAAACCTTGTCATTGAACGAACCTTGAACAATTGCGTTGTCTAATCAGAGGTCGTGACACAACCACACTCAAATCAAACATGGCGACCTCCACGGAAACCGTGTCATTGAACGAAACTTGAACTTTGCAAAAATTCATAGTCTTTGATTCTTACTTCCACGTCTTCCCCTGTCCAAGATATCTTGAATATTCAACGAGGAACTGATGTCAATAGAGATCCACTTTTCATCATCTGGACAAGACTTATCTGCTTCAAAGTAGTATTTAAATAGCTTGCTTTGAATAAAAGTTAAACGAGTCAAGTCTTCGACATTGCAAATGGAAAGTTAATGAACTTTGGTATATTCACGTCTTACTCATCTGTGGATTCGGAGATATAAACATCTTGGAGCCACCAAAGTTAGTTTGTATGCGCAGTGAGCCTATCCTATATTTAGTATGGTTACGGTAATATATCTCAACAATGCAACATTTGAGGCTTCGGAAATTTTGCTGTCTAGTAGTTTATTCATCCTTTCATTCTGTGAAAAATAATTAAAACACATTGCAACCAAAGCAATTTGTGGTTTGGTTTGGGTTTTTTTTGGGGGGGGTGGGGGGGGTGATACCGCATGGCCATACTCTTTACTTATTCAACCCCAAAAATTCGTCCTTAATCCGGATGCTGTAAAATTTGCGAGGATGTAAGTCGATAATGAAACATACAAAGTTAATGAACTTAGGCATGTTCACGCCTTATTCATCTGTGGATTCGAAAGTATAAACATCTTCGACCCACCAAAGCTAGCTTGGAAGTTATCTTGTTCCTCGTGATCCTACCATAACCAGATTTCCCCATACTTTTAGTATGCTTACGGTAATAATTTATCGCTACCATGCAACATGGGCGGCTTTTGAAATTTTGCAATCAAATAGGTCAAGTAGTTTATTCATTTTTCGTTTCTGTGAAAACCATATTAGTAGACCATTTTGCCACCAAAGCTGGTTTGGATACTTTTTGATGCAAGTGAAGGTACCCTTTTCTGTGTGCTCATTTAGCCTAGTGTACGATATTTTAGTATGATTGTGTATATACGGTAATAATTGTTTGGATTGTATTTTTGTTTATCAGGCTATATAATATATAAAACGCATTACTATGTCTTAAAGTGTTATTTTCCGATGTGGCTAAGTGGGTAAGACGCTGGCTCGCTAGCCTGGAGGTCGGATGTTCGGTCTCTGCATTGGCCGAAAAAGTTTCGCCGTGATTTCCCCTTGTCAGTGATGCAGGACGGAGGGCCTGACAAGGACAGCTGTCTAGTCGTTCGGATGGGAAGAAAAAACAAGGTCCCGTGTATACATTGGCGTGCAGGTAAAAGATCCCTTGGCAGTTCGAATTCGATATAAGAGTAGGCCGTAGCGCTGCTGCCCGGGCAAAATTTCCCTCATAGCACACTGTATGGCGTATGCCCGTCTTCATTAGCCCAGTTTAGGAGCAGAACAGTAGGACATTAAACCCCATTTCATTTCATTTCATTTCTTTTTTCCGATGTAAAGGTAAATGGATTGCCACATTCTAGTAATTACTTTACCGCTGGTCTTCCATAGTTCGGCTTAGGTCCCATCCATTCTTTATACTATATAAAGATTTACTCGATCATCAAGCTCAATGACGTATATATACGTCATCAAGCTTGTGCATTAGTCTTACTGGAAGATTGCGTCTACATTCTCATTTGTTTTGTGTTTGCCACGACAGGGTATATATAGATTAGATTGTTTTGGAATTGACATACCTGTTTTCAGATGTTTGCAATGGAGCCGACAAAAGCTCGTTTGATACAGTCCAAATATGAAGGATCACCTGTGAAGCAAACTTTGGCCGCATTATTGGCGGCAACTGGGGCGCTTGCTTTTGGATACACAATTGGCTACAGCTCACCTGCTATTCCAGATATGATAAAACATGGTGTTTTGACGGTGCCAGAATCTCCCGTTTTCGGTTCGCTAATGACAGTTGGAGCCTTAGTTGGTGGACCGCTAGGAGGTTGGTTTGTTGAAAAAAATGGAAGGAAGATGACGATACTTTTTGCATCATTTCCCTTTATTCTAGGCTGGCTTGCCATTGCCTATCAGCTATCTAATTCCTATACATATTTGTATGGAGGGCGTTTGTTGACAGGTGTCGCAAGTGGAATGATTACAGTTTGCGTCCCAGTGTACATAGCAGAGATTTCCTCGAAAGCTTATCGTGGAGTTCTTGGAACATTAACGCAGTTATTAATAACTATTGGAATTTTGGCAGTTTATGTACTTGGCTCATATATTGGGTGGTCAGGTTTAGCTTTGATCGGAGCATTGTCTGGAATATTCATAATCATTGGCGCTTTCTTCTTGCCGGAATCCCCACATTGGCTTCTTAAGCAAGGTAAAAAGGCAGAAGCTATTGAGTCGCTGAAGGCCTTGCGTGATGCCCACATGGATGTAGGAGAGGAATGCAGAGATATTGAAGAAGGTATAGACGTTAAGGAATCGGTGCCGCTATCAGAGTTTTTGAAACCAGAATTATTCAAACCATTGTTGATTATCGTGTTTATCATGTTTTTCCAACAATTTAGCGGAATCAATGCTGTTATGTTTTATACGGTTAATATATTTGAAAAAGCAGTTCCTTCCCTGGCTCATTCTGCTACAATTGGAATTGGAGTGGTGCAAGTTATCGGAACATTTGTAGCAGCCCAGTTGATGGATCGTGCTGGTAGAAGAAAGTTGCTGATATTTTCAGGATTAACCATGGCGATATCTTTGTTCGGAATGGCATATTATTTCCATTACGAAGCGGCTTGGATAGCTGATGGAATGAAGACATCTTGGCTCCCTGTTATATCCTTAATGCTGTTTGTTATTGGTTTTAGCTTGGGTTGGGGTCCTATTCCAATGTTGGTCATGTCTGAGATCCTGCCAGTAAGAGTTAAGGGTACAGCGAGCGCCATTGCTATTTTTAGTAATTGGTCATTTGCGTTTGCCGTGACTCTTTCATTTATACCAGCTCAGATGCTAATTGGACCGTCTCTCGTATTTTGCATATTTGGTGCTGCCTGTTTCATATCAGTTTGTTTTGTTTTGAGATTTTTGCCAGAAACAAAAGGGAAATCCCTTGAAGACATTGAACTTTTCTTTTTGGGCAAAAGTCCAATTACTCCAATTGTTTAAAACACCTGGAGGATTTGGGCTAAATCTATTTGTTAAGGCCAGCTCAATTTTTGTCAAGGTCGTTGAGATGTAAATCAGGTTAGGACATGTGATTGTTGGCGAGAATGTAGGTTAGGGTTAGGGTAAGCATTGGGGCTAGGTCGTGAACTATTACAAAAAATTGAGCTGGGCTCGCGGAAGTTGAAACATGTAGGCCTATTGCTGAAATCATTTTATAGGCTTTCTGTGACCTGGGGTTACATTATCTTTGATAATACATGTATTGGGATATTTTGCACAACATGTTAGTATGGTTGTCAGTTTTATTTTTATTGTATAACGTACACTATTATGAAATTGGAATAACCTTTTGTTATTTATGTATAAAATCTAACATGAAATGTCTTTTTGGTAAAATATTTTACGTTTTTTGTATATATTGATTTCTCCTTTCCTGTTCTCTTCTAATGGGGTTTGCGTGGTCTTACACTCGGCAAACCTCAGCAGATTCCTGTACCCTATATCTAGCCTCGGCTGTATGACAAAGTCCGCCATTGGAACTACTTTCAAGTTCGCGGATTACCAACGGCGTTGCCCATGACGACGCCTTTTAAGAATGTTTTATCATACAAATATTTTAAAGTCTGAAGCTGTTTTTCTTTCAAGTTTATCTGATTTTCTTCAAACAAGGACAACTTTGCACTAAAAATTCTACACGTTTCGAACGAGGCAATTTTGATAACTTCTTTTTAAAAGAGGCAAGTTTTCCTAATAAGTAAACCGGTGCCGCATCGCAATTGTATAAGCATAGGTACATATCACTTAACGTCATACAGCGGAGGCTAGATGTAGAGTAACGAAATCTGTCGAGGTTTGCCGAGTGGGTGGTCTTAGTGGGTAAATGTATGCATGTGTAACAAAGGTCTGTTATTGATTCAAGTGGCGTGGTTTTGATTCCCCGGTATCCTCCCACTGCTAAAGACCCCTACGCACAAACAAATTGTTGAAATAAATTTGAATGTTAGTCTAAAAATGACCTATTTTGTCTGAGTGGACTTTAAACACTGACTCACTCTCTGTCTCTCTTGTGGGATTAATTAAGTAATTAATTGATCTAACTAATTAAAATGTTACACTCAGATCTTATATTATACAAATAATACATCACAGTATTTTGTTTATTTCTTGTATTAAATATTATTAATATATCGCAGCGATCTAATTAAAACACAGATCGTATTTCGTTTTGTTTTTTATAGTCCAAAATTTCGTTTTTCTTGTCTTTACAACACTAGGATCTGGAAGAGTTGTTATCATTGACCTGTTTTGGATGATGTGAGGGGATTAGCCAATGAAACGGTCTGTTACGGCAAGCTATTGGCTTGACGCGACCTCCCAATACAACTGGTCAGATCTTCATGTAGTGTAGGCCATCGAAAGTATAAAAAACGAAACGAAATATAGATCTGCATTTTAATTAGATTGCTATTGCAGTACTTAATGTAAATGGTGGTGGTGGGGGGGTTATAACATGATGGCTTTATATCATACATTGTACATGTAAGGTCTGTCATGGAGTCAAGTGGCATGGTTTCAAATTTGATCCCAAGATTGTACATAATAAACAGGCCAACTGCAGAATTTGTCACAGTCACAAGATGTAAACAGGGTTAGGGCACGTGATTGTTGCCGAGCATTTTGGGTTAGGGTAAGGTACATGTACAAGGGTTAGTGCTAGCCATGTTTACATCTTGTGACCTTGACGGAATCTGCAGGTGGCCTTAATATTTAGACCTAACCAACCTTGTGGGTTTTCTCCAGGTCCTCTGGTTTCCTCCCACTACTAAAGGACATTACCTGAAATGATATTGCACTAGAAGTTAGTCTCAAAGTGACCTAGTCTGTGTCAAGTAGACTTTAAACACCATTTCTCTGTCTTTATGTAAATGCTGTCTGCTTTCTGAAAACAGGGGAGGGTTGGATGGCCGAATGGTTAGCACATGCGCGCTGTATCATAAGGTCGGTCATTGAGTCAACTGGCGTGGTTTCGATTCCCCGGTTGTAGGTGATTTTTCTCCCTACATGCAAGAGAATTATTGAAATAAAATTGAACCATTTGTTAGTCCTGAAATGACCTAGCTTGTGTTGAGTTGGTGTTAAACCTCTCTCTCTCTCTTTCCCCCTCACTCTCTCCTCTCTTACTAATAGGGGATCACGTGGCTAAGTGGGTAAGACGTTAGCTCGCTAGCCTGGAGGTCGGGTGTTCGATCCCTGCATTGGCCGAGAAAGTTCATCCAGATTTTTCGGCGTGGTTCTCCCTTGTCAGTGATGCAGGACGGAGGGGCTGACAAGGAAAGCTGTCTAGTCGTTCGGATGGGACGAAAAACCGAGGTCCCGTGTACACATTGGCGTGCACGTAAAAGATCCCTTGGCAGTTGGAATTCGATATAAGAGAAGGCCGTAGTGCCGCTGTCCGGGCAAAATTTCCCTCATAGCACACTGTATGGCGTATGCCCGTCTTCATTAGCCTAGGTTAGGAGCAGAACAGTAGGACGTTAAACTCCATTTCATTTCATTTCATTTCTCTTACTAATACAGTCCTATATTGATAATCCATTCACCAAAATCCATAATCTCATTAATTCCTTTGATATCTCATGTAGCCAGGTGTTCAGCATAAAATATTAATATATTAAACTGCATACTGTGAAAGGTTATTAAAAGATTTAGATTATCGTGAACAGTCGGGTTATATATCACAGCCCACAGAGATGATTTGATATGTGGACAGATGTTCAATCTAAATATAGTCAATAACCTTATACTGTGAAAGATTATTAATAGATATAAATTATTGTGAATAGTATTTGTTTATACATGTATGTCGCATCACTCTCACAGCTGAATTGATACCTATTTGGATGTGTTGCATTGACTATGCAATGCATGTTACGTGTGTGGTGTATGTGCAGGCATGAAATGCCACATAATTTTGGATTCAATCACTCAGTTTGTGTCAAGTGAACGGTAAACCCCTTTTCCCTCTATGAATATTGCATATAAACTTTGTGTAAATACCATTTACTAAGGTCATATGGTTAGCGCGTGCTCGTTGTATCATAAGGTCTGGTTTCAATTAACCAGTTACATATGACAAGGAATAGGGTCGCTTGTCTAACCTCGTGAGTTTTCTCAGGGTCTTCGGTTTCCTCCCACTGCCAAAGACCCCCTACGTGCCGCACGCAAGCGAATTATTGAAATAAAATTGAACCATGTGGATTGGACATTAAACCCCTGTAGTACTAAACAAGTATTGATTTGGATGGGGAACTATCAAGGGCACACTAAAGTTGCATGTATATTTGTCATGTCAAGTGTGTTTACATCGCTTTCTCATCCCCTCGTGGGTTTTCTCCCACTGCTAAAGACCCCTACGCGCAAGCGAATTATTGAAATAAAATTGAACCATTTGTTAGTCCCAAAATGACCTAGTTTGTGTGGAGTGGACGTTAAACCCCATTTCTCTCTCTCTCTCTCTCTCTCTCTGGCTTTCTCATCCATGTTAAGATACAATTATTTCTGTTCATTGCATTCCTCCAAATCAACTTACTTTTGTCCTGAAATCCTGGTGGAGCTTCTCTCCAACATCTCACCTCACCATCGTTGAAATTCCTGCCAATGATATTTTATATAATTTTTCTCATTAACAATATGTGGTAAAACTTGAATGCTTTAGTTTTGTTAACATTTGTTAACATATTACTTAAATTAGTTTTGTTAACATATTCTTGCCACTAATATTTTATTTATTTTTATCATTAACAATATGTGGTAAAACTTTAATGCATTAATTTTGTTAACATATTACTTAAATTAGGTTTGTTAACATTACTTAAATGAGGTTTGTTAACATATTACTTTAATTATTTTTGTTAACATATTACTTAAATTAGTTTTGTTAACATTACTTAAATTAGTTTTGTTAACATATTACTTTAATTAGTTTTGTTAACATATTACTTAAATTAGTTTTGTTAACATTACTTAAATTAGTTTTGTTAACACATTACTTAAATTAGTTTTGTTAACATATTACTTTAATTAGTTTTGTTAACATATTATCACTTGACATTTTACACTTCTATTATTTGTTTTATTTATTATTTTATTGTTTTTGTAAGAGCTTTGAACTTTGACTACAATTTTAGAAATGCACAGGCCCCCAGTTCACAAAGCATTCTCAGGCTTAAGTTAAGAATTTACTCAACTTTCAATCACTGTTTATGAGAAATATCTTTGATCAAGAAACACAAAACTTTGCACATAGTTTCTTATTGATGTATTTGATACATTAAAACAACAAAAGTTTTTTAAGGGGCTATAATTTAGTTAAAAAAAGGCGAACTATTTTGAGTAAATTCTGAACTACTGAGAATGCTTTGTGAACTTGGGGCCAGAGATTAATATTGAAACCATGTTTGTTGTAAATATTGTGGACCATACAGTCTGAATATATTGTTAATTTTATAACTGGATATATTATTATATATTATCAAATAATGGGATAATAAATTTGTCTGTATAAAATAAATGCATTAACACTCATTTTGTCACTTTTATTTCATCATTGTACCTCCATAGATCTGGATTAAGACAATCTGGGTCTCGAAACCCCAGTTGTACGTGACAAGGTGTAGGGTCGTCTGTCCAACCTCGTGGGTTTTCTCCGGGTCCTCCGATTTCCTCCCGCTGCTAAAGACCTCAACGCCCAAGGGAATTATTGAAATAAAATTAAACCATATGTTAGTCCCGAAATGACCTAGTTTGTGTCGAGTGGATGTTAAACCCCATTCTGTTTCTCGAAATCTTAACTAAAGATAAAATCCAAATTTTAGTAGATACTTCAATTTTGATTGGCTAAGCACTAAAAGCAATCTAATATTATCCAATCAAATTACTTAAATTTGGATATTATCTTAGTTAAAATTTCGTGAAACAGGCCCCAGAGGCTTTATACTATAATCCATGGTTTATGGGTATAGTTCTCTGTTCTGGGAACAATACTTAAAGGAGCTAAATCGCTAATATTTGGGACCTAGAAATTGACACAAATGGGTCGCAACGCATATAATAATGTAATCTAATTGTATATAAACTGATTTACATGCAATTGTTTCCGTTTTGACTCTAATTTCAAATCAGTTGTCTCCAGCGAAATACGGCATGAGTCTCAACTGAATCGCTATTTCTCGCGTCTGGTTATTCCAGTCTATTGTGCATGCTCTCATGGCGTCACCTTTTTAATGAGTTGTGGAATATGTCTAGCGTGGTTCTTTCTGGTCACTTGTTACACATGATGCTGAAACGCACTATGGTACACGATTCGTGTACCAATGGTAAAATGTTTATTTTATCTTAAATATTGGATATCAGAAGCCTACCTTTTCCCGGTAAGATCACAACATCAATGTTGATTTGAATTGACAAATAATTCGTGTTTTCAACGTGTAAGATTTTGGATGACATTTAGTTAGAGACTTAGCTACTTTAAACAATAATAATTAATATACAATAATGAACCACACATTTATAGATTCGATCATCAGATTGGTGTGTAGAAAGTTTCTGTAAACTTCTGAAACGAGGAACTGGTTACATACACTAGGGGCACCACTCATCAAGAAAAGTCTTAAGCTGTGGACACATTAGCTGAATCATTTGGCGCCGAATTTATTTGGCCGAATGGGTGGACACATTAGGCGAATGTAATGAGTGGTGATTGGCTACAATCGAGCGTATGCTTCGTGGAAACTGACACACTAGGCGAATATAATTCAGCCGAATATATCAAACGTGTTTGATTCGGTGAATAATTCGAGCAAATTACGATGAACACACTAGCCTTTTTTCGACGCAGATTTTTTCGGCTGAATCATTTGGATGGGAAGAAAATGAAAACGTTGGCGTGCACGTAACAGAACTCTTGACAGTTTGAACTGCCTGGGCAAAATTCCCCTTATTACACATTGTATGGCATACACCCATCTTTACTTGCAGGGGAGTTTGACACGGTAGTCAGGGGTTGGGTGGTCGAGTGGTTAGCGTGTGCGCATTGTATCATAAGGTCTGTCATTGAGTCAACTGGAGTGGTTTCGATTCCCCGGTTGTACGTGACAAGGAGTAGGATCGCTTGTCCCACTTCATGGCTTTTCTTCAGGTCCTTCGGTTTCCTCCCACTGCTAAAGACCCCTACTACTCACAAGCAAATTTTGGAAATAAAATTGAACCATGTTAGTCCCAAAATGACCTAGTTTGTGTTGAATGGGCCTTAAAGCCCATCTCTCTCTCTCTCTCTCTCTCTCTTGCTGACTCTCTCTCTAACTCTCAGGACAGAGGGCCTGACAAGGACAGCTGTCTAGTCATTCGGATAGGATGAAAAACCGAGGTCCCGTGTACACATTTGCGAGCACATAAAAGATCCCTTGGCAGTTGGAATTCGATATAAGAGTAGGCCGTAGTGCCGCTGCCCGGGCAAAATTTCCCCCATAGCCCACTGTATGGCGTATGCATGTCTTCATTAGCCCAGTTTAGGAGCAGAACAGTAGGACGTTAAACCCCATTTCATTTCATTTCTCTCTGATTCTCTCGCTATTACCTGGTTTAGTTACAAATGATCGCCCTTATGATTGACATTTTATAAATTAATATGGTTCATTACTTCATTCAACAGACCTTAGACGTATAAGTAGTTAGTTGAATGAAAGATTTATACTACTTAAAGATACATTATGTAAGATTTAGATAAAGAACTAGCCATTCTTGCTATAATAGTTCGAAAGTAGATGATGTAAAATGAATAATTTGAAAATTTCATTCAAATTACTCTATTGCAAGCGAAGATATTAGCCTTTGAAGGTTTGACAGATGTAGCCCAGGTTAGGAGCAGAACAGTAGGACGTTAAACTCCATTTCATTTCATTTCATTTCATTTCGTTTGACAGATGTGTGCAATAATTACAACCACCGTACTGGTCGATCGAAGCTAAGTCTCGGTCCTCCATATTTGATTAAATCAAAGTATCGCTGAACCATTCTAATCTATTTAATATCAGAGAAATCTGATGCCATCGAGAGTTGATTAAGGCTTGGATTAGTTAATTAATGTCTAATTAATACTTTAGAAAACATTTCCGGCCTAAAGAAAGACCTGCAATAGGCAGATTTAGCTCTTGCATAATGCATGTTTAATAAATGAAATGGGTTGGTGAAAAGCTTTCCAGCAAGGGAAATACATTTGAACAATACTTAGAATCGAATGTAAGTTTATTGATTTTCAATATAACCACATATAGCTGTAGAAGCTGTAGCCATTGTGTGGTGGTAAATAAATCAATCAGAACATGTAGGCCTAATAATGTACATTGTACATTTGATCTGTGTTATTATAATAAAATACAAAAACGCCAATTTTACACACCAGCCTACTTCTAAATGACATGAAATGAAATGAAATGGGGTTTAACGTCCTACTGTTCTGCTCTAAACTGGGCTAATGAAGACGGGCATACGCCATACAGTGTGCTATGAGGGAAATTTTGCTCAGACAGTGGCACTACGGCCAACTCTTATATCGAATTTCAACTGTCAAGGGATCTTTTACGTGCACGCCAATGTGTACACGGGACCTCATTTTTTTGTCTCATCCGAATGACTAGACAGGCCCTCCGTCCTAATGAAGATGGGCATATGCCATACAATGTGCTATAAGGGAAATTTTGCCCGGGCAGCGGCACTACGACCTACTCTTATATCGAATTTCAACTGTCAAGGGATCTTTTACGTGCACGCCAATGTGTACACAGGACCTCATTTTTTTTGTCTCATCCGAATGACTAGACAGCTGTCCTTGTCAGGCCCTCCATCCTGCATCACTGACAAGGGGGAACCACGCCGGAAAATCTGGGTGAACTTTCTCGGCCAATGCAGGGATCGAACACCCAATCTCCAGTCTAGCGAGCCAGCGCCACCGTGACCCCCTTTCTTAATGACAACTAAACGAGAAATGGGGCAACTGTATTGGCATGTCATTTATTGACTAATGTTTAGGTTATTAGGGTAGTCAACAACATGTCGGTCCAATATCTAGGTTATGCCAATATTAAAGGCTTGCAGCAGATGAAGACGGTTTGTATAGATCTGCGACGAAATCCAAACATTGTCTTACAATTAAAACAATATAGGCCTAATTAATTACTGCCCAGAAATGAAATAACTATGTTTTTAGTTTCTTGGGCCCCAGAAAATAGGGGCGGTCGGAAAATCTTTTTATTTTATTTTCATTATTTTCATTTTTTGTTTTTTTTGTTTTGTGGTCATTTGGGACCCCGATTATTGGAGGTGGGGTCAGAAAATCTTTAAATTTTTTTTTTTTTTTTTTGGTGTGTTTTTGTATTATCTATTTATATAAACATCTTTGGCTTAATTACTGAATATGGTTCATGAAAATAATGCTGAAAGTTGTCTTGAGAAAATCACGCCCATGTTGAGTTCCACTCCAGGGAAATGAAACTGAACTGACTGAAGAGAAAAAAGGCTTTTCGTCGATTTTGGCTAAAGTAAAAGAGGTCAGTCGGTATTAAAAGTTTATATGAAATATATTTTTTTATCCCCACGTTACGTAGTTAATAATCCCACATTTCGTAACAAATTCTGTTTAGAAATAAAGCGTCTAAAATGAGAAAAGGAAATGACAATAGAATGCACATGATCGGATGTTTATATCGTTGTTAAAATCCTTGTCACGTGATACATTTATCTGATGACGTTACACCAACCATGCTGGTTTGACCACGCTGGATTCTAAAAATAGATCGGCCACGTGTATCTGTCAAACGTTGTAGTTACCATGTCATATGTTGATAGCTGATATAAAAACAATTTCTATCATGCGATATTTCAATAACTAAATAAACATCGAATAGAAACGGGTCTCTAGTTTTAACAGAAATACATTAATCAACAAACCTTGTGAGAGATAGAGAGAGATAAAAAGGCCGATCGAAATCAGTATTTATTTTAAAAAGTTAATTTTGCAAGAGAGACGGATACCTGTTTTGTGAATTGATATTCTTCAACTTTCGATTCAAGAACATCATTTTAATTAGCCTACAAGAAAGAATTTATTTAGGTTACAATGGGTTTATTTTTATCGAAGATTGTTGAAGCTTTAACAGCTTTTAGCGGTAGTGATCCAGCCCGTATATTAATGTTAGGATTAGATGCTGCTGGTAAGTAGAGAATATATTTTATTATATATGATTATAGACGACTGGTATATTTACACACCGAGATAGGTTTCTTGAACCAGAAAATAAAACTCTTTACACACTGTTACAACAGTATAACGTTAAAATTTCTGGATGCTAAAAAAAACCCTCAAACCAAATGACATCTGGATTATAATCGGTCGCATCTAGAGAGAGAAAGAGAGAAATGGGGTTTAACGTCCACTCGACACAAACTAGGTCATTTCGGGAGTAACATGGTTTAATTTTATTTCAATATTTGGCTTGCTCGTGGGGGTCTTTAGCAGTGGGAGAAAACCGGAGGACCCGGAGAAAACCCACGAGGTTGGACAGGCGACCCTACTCCTTGTCACGTACAACCGGGGATTCAAATCCACGCCAGTTGACTCAGTGACAAGCCATATGATACAGCGCGCACGTGGTAACCATTCGCCCCCCCCCCCCACCCCCGGTTGCATTTAGAACTTCTTTTTTCTTCTTTTTTCCCTGGTTGTCGAAACAACGAGAAATTGTTAAGACAATCACCAAGATACGTTTTTTATTTACTATAAAACCAATCTGATTAAATTACACATCTATATTTCGTTTCGTTTTATTACACTTTCGATGGCCTACACTACATGAAGATATGATCAGTTGTAGTGGGAGGTCGCGTCCGAGGTCATACGAGCGACATTCGACCTATGACGTCAGACATTGATTAATCAACCAGTGTTGACCTCTCTAGTGGTTTACCCATTTGTTCCGTACACAGTACGCCAAGAACTCGCCGTAACTGGCTAATCTTTAACTTCAACCAGAACACCGGTAATATAAAAAATCTTCCGGATCCTAGTGTAGTGAAGACAAGTCAAACTAAATTTTGAACTATTAAAAACGAAACGAAATAGGATCTGTGTTCTAAACACGTTTCTTGTGTTTACTAATAGCGTCAGTAGAGGGAGCACACAATACGTTTATTGAATATGGATCAACATTTTTCATGAAAATGTAATAATAATTGTATTTTTTGCAGGTAAAACGACTGTTTTGTATAAGTTAAAGTTAAATGAGACAGTCTGTACAATACCTACTATAGGATTTAATGTAGAAACTGTCTCACCTGTTAAAGGTGTAACATTCACAGTATGGGATGTTGGAGGACAAGAAAAAATTAGAACTTTATGGAGACATTATTACCAGAACGCACAAGGTAAATTGACTTTTATAGAATTGTATTGATTTTAATTTAGGTCTTCTCGAATTAAAAATTAAAAGAGGTTGTGAAAGCCTTCTTATACTTCTGTATTAGATGACTAACCTTTATAAGTTATGTATGCCTTCTACAGGTGACGTCACATCTCGAGGCGTAGATCATTGGCTCTATGGCGCGTGTATCGTTTACTCATTGTATATACAAAATTACACTCAATAGGAAATATTTTTCATCTAGATACACTTCAAACACCTTTATTTATTTTTCTAATACTTCAACCCCCCCCCCCCCCCAAAAAAAAAAACCAAACTAACAAACAAACAAAAACGGACCCTCCTTCACCATTTACAGGGGATACAAGACTTGAAAATCTGACAATTCTCTCGGCCGACATCGGGGTCTCTCCACTCAATTTTATTGGATTCTTATAATTATTTTCATTGACCATGCTGACTAATAGTATAAATATTCATTAATATGTAACGAAATCGATCATCTTAATAGAACATCATCCATAATTCAAAATAGTTTACATTCATAGAAAGGTCATACAAGTACTATATATATATACCATTTTAAAAATTGTATACTAACAGACTGAAATGCTGACAACAAATTTACTACTAATAAAAAGCATACAGGAAATTAATTCCTATCTGATCTGGCATTACGTCATTTATAGAAAGGTTGTACAAGTACTATATATACATACCATTTTAAAAATTGTATACTTAACGACTGAAGCCCTGACAATAAATTTACTACTAATACAGGAAATTAATTCCTATCTGATCTGGCATTACGTCATTTATAGAAAGGTTGTACAAGTACTATATATACATACCATTTTAAAAATTGTATACTTAACGACTGAAGCCCTGACAATAAATTTACTACTAATACAGGAAATTAATTCCTATCTGATCTGGCATTACGTCATTTATAGAAAGTTCTATATGGTTAAAGATACAGTTATTGTCATTATAAATTCTTTATGTTTAAAGATACAGTTATTATATCATACTTTATGGTTAAAGATACAGTTATTGGCGTTATTTCGTTCTATATGGTTAAAGATACAGTTATTGTCATTATAAATTCTTTATGTTTAAAGATACAGTTATTATATCATACTTTATGGTTAAAGATATAGTTATTGGCATTCTTTATGTTGAATATATGATTAATTGATCTATGTTTTAATTGTAGGTTTGGTATATGTTGTTGATAGTGCTGATGTTACCAGAATGGCCGAAGCTAAAGAAGAATTACATGCTATATGTAAAGATATCCAAATGGAAGGTGTACCTGTTGTCATAGTAGCCAATAAACAGGATTTACCTGGTAAGATCACTAATTACAAATTTCACGATTTCATCTCTTATGTTTGGACAAAATTACTGTTTAAAGGGGACGTTTCACTTTCAAAAAGAAAATAAAAGTATTGCAAGAACCCTAAGTAGGTCAAAATACAAAATGAGATCGGACTACTTCGTACCTCATTTTCACCTCGATTCTCTACCTTTTTATCGATTGGGGTGGGGGTGGGAGCGGTGGATGGCCGAATGGTTAGCGCGTGCGCGTTGTATCATAAGGTATGTCATTGAGTCAACTGGCGTGATGGAGTAGTATCGCCTGTCCAACCTCGTGGGTTTTCTCCGGGTCCTCCGGTTTCCTCCCACTGCTAAAGACCCCTACGCGCAAGTGAATTACTGAATAAAATTGAACCCTGTGTTAGTCCTGAAATGACCTAGTTTGTGTCGAGTGGACGTTAAACCCCGTTTCTACCTCTTTTGAGCGGCATTTTATATATATTCGTTTTTCATTATCTATTTTTGAACTATTATAGCACGAACGGTAGGCATCCTTAGATAAGGTCTCTTTTATGTGCGAGGGGCGTGGGGTGAATTCTTTTTATTCAAAACAACATTTCATTATAAAATTCATTTATTGACATTTGTTATTTCATTTGAATAATTCAGGAGCGTTAAAAACATCTGAAATAGCTGATCAATTAGATATGATGTCATTCCGAGATAGAAAATGGTATGTTCAAGGATCTTGTGCTAAAACTGGAGAAGGAATCTATGAAGCTATGACTGAAATGGCCAGATTAACAAAATTATTCCAGAGTAAAAGATGAGGGAAATTTCAAAATATTGATTTGTGTGTGTATTAAAAACAATGGATTAAGTCGGTAAATATGAGTGCTCCTGATTCAAACCCGATTGAATATTTTTCTTATTCTGTGAAGTCAGGACATGTGTGTATTTCGTGAAACATTTATTGTGTGTAAATTATTGGATATTTGAAGCCCATCTTTTCCCAGAAAGATCATACCATCAATGTTGATTTAAATTGACAAATAATTCATGTTTTCAGTGTCAAAGACTGTAGAATATATTCAGATTGAGACTTTGCTATATGTGATAATATTATTAAGATCAACATTATTTCACGAGACAATTCAGATTTATCAACAACCTTATACTTCGAGGAGCCGTGTGTAATGAATGTGTGTTAAGACCAACATTATTTCACGAGACAATGCAGATTTATTAAGAACCTTATACTTCACGGAGCCTTGTGTAATGAATGGAACGAACTGAAATTGATAAATATGTCTGTGATATTATAAAGATCTATAATAATTTGACGATAATTTACAGCCTTATTGAATTTGTGCGCTTGCCGTTTAGTCATATTGCACATAACCATAGACCGTATTATATAGATTTATATAAAGTTCATGACGTAACTAAATCTATCAACCGTATAACTGGTTCATATTCAATGTTTAAGATATCTTACCTATATTAGCCTTATTGAATTTGTGCACTTATCGTAGTCATCATTGTACTAAACCTATCAACCTTATAATTTGTTCATATTAAATGTCTTACCTATATTTCTATGCATTATTTGATTACATGTACTTTGTAAATATTTCACAGGTAATTTATACCGACTTAACCTATCACCCTTATAATTGGTTCATTTTGAATTTTTAAAATATCTAACATATATTTCTATGTATTATTTAATTTGTTGATTAATTTGTAAATATTTCGCAGGTTATTTTTTATTACTTATGTATATAAAATGACTGAATATAATTCACTCTGTATATATAACGTTAAAGATCCCTTGGCAGTTGGAATTCGCTGTAAGAGTTGGCCGTATATATACATAACATGAGGGACTATAATTCATTCTGTACATTTATCTCTGACGTCATCATTTAAAATTCTATATTAGTATATATCATAATTAAATTCTCAATATTTTGTTGTAAATGATCTATATCTGAAATAAATGTTTTCAAGTTATGAATTATGGTTATATTCTTACAGTCAGCCAGACTTTATGGAGCAACATTTCTCCAGAAATTTGTTTTTAATTTTCACCAGAGACTGAAGCACCAGCAAGGTTAATAGAATGTAAATACAGGTTAAAATGGCATGAGAAGTCAACATGGAAACTACTAAAGTAAATATTGTGATGGTTTTGCGATTTAAAAGAGACATGCGATGAGGTTTAACACAACAAGGTCAACTCAGTACTATATGTTATGGACAATAGTGTCATGGGTTTGAATAACAGTAGTGGGAGGGGTGAGGGCGGGGAAGTCGGGTTGTTAGGGTACTCGACTCCGGACTAAGCGCGAAGACTGGGCATGGAAGTCGAACATATGTCACGGTAACCTATATGTGGGCTATAATGGTAAATTGTTGCGCACGCACTGACGGACTGGGGGTTGGAGACTCCCGAGCCTGGCCCCACTAGGAGCTCTCACTCTAAAATGTGTTAAAAACAGACTGTAAATGGTAGAATATATCCTAAATGTTTCAAGCTTATGCAGAAATTTAGCGATTGGCAAAGTTACCAATTCATTAAAAACGTCGTAAATTCGAGACTGAAAAGGGTTTCAAAACTACAGGAGAACATCCACTTTTACAGAGGTTAGATCTATTTGATATGGTCAACTTCAGATTTGGTGTCAAATGGTACCACGAGGGCGGTGACAACAGTCACGTGTGTAGCGGTTTTCCTCCTTCCACGACATGGACAGGTATATTTTTCTAGATACAAAAAAAAGCAATTGTAAAATATAGGCATATTTGCTAAAATGACACGGCGGCTACTATCGCCTTTTTTTTTTACTAGAAAAATGTATCTGGAAACATACATAGATGTGTGACAATACGGGGACAGATTTGACTATCCTGGTCAAAACTTCCCAAAACAGCCTGGGACACTATCCTTCGTCACGGCACCGAAAAACGGTTCTGTGATGCTGTGATCAATTAGAAACTAACTTTGGCCTCCACTTTAATGTATATAAAACTATTAACTCTGGAACAGTTTCTTGGTTAACTATGTTTTTATATCTTTATAACATTCATAATATAATGGTTACATACAGGAAACTACACACACAGCTATGACATTAAATATAAGCTAAATATAAATTCTCTATCCCCTAGCTTGTGTTTTGCGCCGGTGTTTCCCAGCCTCTCAGCCGAGCAGGCTGTGGGAGCGTTCTTCAGGGAACATTAAATGATGTGTGATTCCTATATACGAACTCCAAATGATGTCTTCACTCTAGTCTCTAAGCCGAGGAGGCCGTGGGTATGCTGTTCCCCTGGGAACTCCGAATGATGTCTAAAGGGAAATTTAACCCCGCTGTTTCTTATATAGAAAGTATAGATGCGTCAGCTATTAGGGCGGGACAATTACCATTTTTTGGTAAGTGTTTCGTGTGGGCACCGTTTTACGTCAACATTATTCTATTTAATTGAACTAATCTATGCACGAGATGACTGGACGATAGTACCCTACTTTCAGCATTTGATGGTGGCAGGAACTGTGGCGGGGAGGGCGGGGGGGGGGTGTAGTCTAAGACAGCTGAATCTTGCAAAATACCTACTTAACCGATTTCTCGTTGTCACGCATAGTTTAACCACTTCAATATATTAAACAGAGCAGAGCACCTTACATAAAACTTGAATAACCCCTACCATGGACCGCCATGCCTCTACCAAATAAGAGTCCGATAGAATTACAAATTGGGTTTAACGTCCATTCGACACAAACTAGGTCATTTCGGGACTAACACATGGTTCAATTTTATTTCAATAATTCGCTTACGCGTTGGGTCTTTAGCAGTGGGGGGAAACAGGGCGACTCGAAGAAAACCCACGAGGTTGGATCGACAGGCGACCCTACTCTTTAAATTTGTGCAGTTACTTGCAGAATATGTTGACAAGGTTATATCGATCGTGGTAATTTTTTTTTTTTGTTGGAAAGCCAGGTAATCATTCCCTGACAGATGGAATTCGCAAGAGAGAGAGAGAAATGGGGTTTAACGTCCACTCGACACAAACTAGGTCATAAAAAGGGGGAATCGAAACCACGCCAATTGACATGATGACAGACCTTATGATACAGCGTGGATGCGTTCATTCGACTGTAAAATAGTCAGTAAAATAGAGCAGATAATTGAATATTTATGTTGATAGTTAACACTGCGTTTACCTGAACATTGTGTATAACTCTGAAAAAATCAATAATTGTCTTTAATTAAAACAACATATAATTGATAGCTCAGAGAAGCTCATGTTGACTTATGTCTAAAAACTGGGGCGGACTGCATGGATCTCAGACCATCGGACGTGATCCGAGGGGTTATGGGGATCATCCGCCCCGATTGTAAAAATAATTGACCTATATTTATTTAAAACAATCAATCAAATTCATTCACTGAAAATAGAATCCGGGGAGAAAAATGAATCAAGCTTGTTTCGTTTTCTCCATCGCGGTAGAAACTTGTCCCATGTTTACAAATCGTCCACTGTTTATATCTTTGATGTCACGTGATACCATTCTCTGGTGACGTTACACCAACCAAGCTGGTCTGATCAAACTGGGTGCTAAAAATAGATCGGCCACGTGTATCTGTCAAACGTTGTAGTTACCATGTCATGTTGATAGCTGATATAAAAACAATTTCTATCATGCGATATTTCAATAACTAAATAAACATCGAATAGAAACGGGTCTCTAGTTTTAACAGAAATACATTAATCAACAAACCTTGTGAGAGATAGAGAGAGATAAAAAGGCCGATCGAAATCAGTATTTGTTTTAAAAAGTTAATTTTGCAAGAGAGACCGATACCTGTTTTGTGAATTGATATTCTTCAACTTTCGATTCAAGAACATCATTTTAATTAGCCTACAAGACAGGATTTATTTAGGTTACAATGGGTTTATTTTTATCGAAGATTGTTGAAGCTTTAACAGCTTTTAGCGGTAGTGATCCATCCCGGATATTAATGTTAGGATTAGATGCTGCTGGTAAGTAGAGAATATATTTTATTCTATCTGATTATAGACGACTGGTATATTTACATACAGAGATAGGTTTCTTGAACCAGAAAATAAAACTCTTTATACACTGTTATTCAGTGCAACGTTAAATTTTCTGGATGTTAAAAAAAAAAACTCAAACCAAATGACATTTTGATTATAATCGGCCGCATCTGGAACATCTATTTTATTTTTATTTTTTCCCTGCTTGTCGAAACAACGAGAAATTGTTAGACAAACACCAAGAACAATTTATTATTTACAACAAAACACTACCCAGGTGACATATTAAATAGCTTGAATTCGTATATTTTGTAGTTAAAAAGAAGAAGGCCTAAGGTATCAAGTCAAACGGAAATCGAAGTGAACACGTTAGAAGGGATCGTTATAGGCCCCGAGATTCACTTGAAGGGTCGAGTAAAATGGCTAACTTATTTAGTCGCCATATTATTTCACTCCCCTGTTTGGGTTTCAACTCTATTCCAAGCGTCTTGAGAGAGAGAGAGAGAGAGAGAGAGAGAGAGAGAGAGATGGGGTTTAACGTCCACTCGACACAAACTAGGTCATTTCGGGACTAACATATGGTTAATTTTATTTCAATAATTCGCTTGCGCGTAGGGGTCTTTAGCAGTGGGAAGAAACCGGAGGACCCGGAGAAAACCGACGAGGTTGGACAGGCGACCCTACTCCTTGTCACGTTTCCAAGCTTCTTGAATCAAGATTACATTGAATATTCATAATTCAACAGTAGACGTTTGTATTTAGAAATAGGAATGGCAAACCTGTTTCTTGTGCTTACTCATAGCGTCAGTGGGGGGGGGGGGGGGTCACATAATACGTTTATTGAATATGGATCAATATTTTTCATGAAAATGTAATAATAATTGTATTTTTTACAGGTAAAACGACGGTATTATATAAGTTAAAGTTAAATGAGACAGTATGTACAATACCTACTATAGGATTTAATGTCGAAACTGTCTCACCTGTTAAAGGTGTTACATTCACAGTATGGGATGTTGGAGGACAAGAAAAAATTAGAACTTTATGGAGACATTATTACCAGAACGCACAAGGTAGTTATTGACTTTTATAGAATTATATTGATTTTAATTTAGGTCTGTTCGAATTAGAAATTAAAAGGGGTTGTGAAAGCCTTCTTATACTTCTGTATTAGATGACTAACCTTTATAAGTTATGTATGCCTTCTACAGGTGACGTCACATCTCGAGGCGTAGATCATTGGCTCTATGGCGCGTGTATCGTTTACTCATTGTATATACAAAATTACACTCAATAGGAAATATTTTTCATCTAGATACACTTCAAACACCTTTATTTATTTTTCTAATACTTCAACCCCCCCCCCCCCCAAAAAAAAAAAACAAACAAACTAACAAACAAACAAAAACGGACCCTCCTTCACCATTTACAGGGGATACAAGACTTGAAAATCTGACAATTCTCTCGGCCGACATCGGGGTCTCTCCACTCAATTTTATTGGATTCTTATAATTATTTTCATTGACCATGCTGACTAATAGTATAGATATTCATTAATATGTAACGAAATCGATCATCTTAATAGAACATCATCCATAATTCAAAATAGTTTACATTCATAGAAAGGTCATACAAGTACTATATATATATACCATTTTAAAAATTGTATACTAACAGACTGAAACGCTGACAACAAATTTACTACTAATAAAAAGCATACAGGAAATTAATTCCTATCTGATCTGGCATTACGTCATTTATAGAAAGGTTGTACAAGTACTATATATACATACCATTTTAAAAATTGTATACTTAACGACTGAAGCCCTGACAATAAATTTACTACTAATACAGGAAATTAATTCCTATCTGATCTGGCATTACGTCATTTATAGAAAGTTCTATATGGTTAAAGATACAGTTATTGTCATTATGAATTCTTTATGTTTAAAGATACAGTTATTATATCATACTTTATGGTTAAAGATATAGTTATTGGCATTCTTTATGTTGAATATATGATTAATTGATTTGTGTTTTAATTCTAGGTTTGGTATATGTTGTTGATAGTGCTGATGTTACCAGAATGGCCGAAGCTAAAGAAGAATTACATGCTATATGTAAAGATATCCAAATGGAAGGTGTACCTGTTGTCATAGTAGCCAATAAACAAGATTTACCTGGTAGATCACTAATTACAAATTTCACGATTTTCTGACACAATTACCGTTTAAAGTGGACGTTTCACTTTCAAAAAGAAAATAAAAGTAACCCTAAGCAAGTCAAAATACAAATTGAGATCGGATTACTTCGAACCTTATTTTCACCTCGGCTGTCAGCTCTACCTTCTTATCGATTGGGGGTGGGGGGTATGGCCGAATGGTTAGCGCGTGCGCGTTGTATCATAAGATCTATCATTGAGTCAACTGGTGTGGTTTCGATTCCCCGATTGTACGTGACAAGCAGTAGAGTCGCCTGTCCAACCTCGTGGGGTTTCTTCGGTTTCCACACACTGCTAAAGACTCCTATGCGCAAGCGAATTATTGAAATAAAATTGAACCATATGTTAGTCCTGAAATGACCTAGTTATGTCGAATGGACGTTCGCCCCCCCCCCCATTCCTCTCTTATGGATTGTAAGCACAAAACTAAATGTTTGTTAAAGATGCATTATGTAAGAGCTAAATCTGCCTATTATTACAGGTCTTTCGTTTGGCTTCAAATGTTATATAAATTATTATTTAGATATTTATTCGCATGACAAGCCTATAATTAACTCTTTCTCTCTCTCTCTCTCTCTCTCTCTCTCTCTCTCTCTCTCTATCTCTCTCTCTCTCTTTGATATTTATTCGCATGACAAGCCTATAATCAACTCTCTGGACCATCCGATGACAGAGATTTAAATGAATTAGAACGCCAGCGAGATTTAAAATTATAACGATGAAATGAATAATCGAGACTTAAACTTTATCGTCAAGTCTCGTTTCTACGCTACATCTTCAGACACTTATAACTCCGCTCAGAATAAAGTATTATGAGTCACATTTTCACGTGCGCGCTGTATCATACGGTCTGTCATTGAGTCAATTGACGGGGTTTCGATTTCCCGGTTGTAAGTGACAAGGAGTTGGGTACTAGTGTCGCCTGTCCAACCTCGTGGTTTTTTTCCGGGTCCTCCGGTTTCCTCCCACTGCTAAAGAACCCTACGCGCAAGCGAATTATTGAACTAAAATTGAGCCATGTGTTAGTCCCGAAATGACCTAGGTTGTGTCAGTGGACGTTAAACCCCTTTTCTCTCTCTTTTGAGCGACATTTTAAATATATTCATTTTTCATTATCTATTTTTTTAACTATTATAGCACGAACGGTATGCATCTTTAAATAAAATCTTTTTTTATACGCAGGGTGCGTGGGGTAAATGTTTATTCGTATGATTATTTCATTATAAAATTCATATATTCACATTTTTTATTTTATTTGAATAATTCAGGGGCTTTAAAAACATCTGAAATAGCTGATCAATTAGATATGATGTCATTCCGAGATAGAAAATGGTACGTTCAAGGAGCTTGTGCTAAAACTGGAGAAGGAATCTATGAAGCTATGACTGAAATGGCCAGATTAACAAAATTATTCCAGAGTAAAAGATGAGAGAAATTTCAAAATAATTAATTTTGTGTGTATTAAAAACAATGGATGAACAAACTAGTGTATATATACACATATCAGTTCTATTGTTTCAACACTTACAATCTGATTAAAAGATGAGCAAAATTCAAAATAATGATTTGTGTGTGAATTAAAAACAATGGATTGAGTCGGTAAATATAATTGCTCCTGATTCAAACCCGATTGAATGTTTTATCTTAGACTGTGAAGTCAGGACACGTGGGTACTTCGTGAAACCTTTAAATGTAATGAATGTGTGTAAAATATTGGATGTCAGAAGCCTTTTCAGTTTTTACTGTAATTTATAATCAGTTATACGAATACGAATATAGCGTCACCGTTTGACATGACTCGGGGAATATGTCTAGCCTCGTTCTTTGGGTCCCTTGTTACAAATGGCGCTGAAACGCATTATGGTACACGATTCGTGTACCAGTGGTAAAATGTTTAATTTGTCTTAAATATTGGATATCAGAAGCCCATCTTTTCAAAGTAAGATCACAACATCAATGTTGATTTAAATTGTCAAATAATTCGTGTTTTCAATGTCGAAGATTTTGGATGATATTGAGTTAGAGACTTAGCTACTTTAAAGGTAATGAATATATGTGATAATATTATAACATTATTTCACGAGACAATGTAGATTTATTAACAACCTTATACTTCGCGGAGCCGTGTGTAATGAATGTGTGTTAAGACCAACATTATTTCACGAGACAATGCAGATTTATTAAGAACCTTATACTTCGCGGAGCCTTGTGTAATGAATGGAGCGAACTGAAATTGATAAATATGTCTGTGATATTATAAAGATCTATAATAATTTGACGATAATTTACAGCCTTATTGAATTTGTGCACGTGCCGTTTAGTCATATTGCACATAACCATAAACCGTATTATATAGATTTATATAAGTTCATGACGTAACTAAATCTATCAACCGTATAACTGGTTCATATTCAATGTTTAAGATATCTTACCTATATTAGCCTTATTGAATTTGTGCACTTGTCGTAGTCATCATTGTACTAAACCTATCAACCTTATAATTTGTTCATATTATATGTTTAAAATATCTTACCTATATTTCTATGCATTATTTGATTACATGTACTTTGTAAATATTTCACATGTAATTTATATCGACTTAACCTATCAACCTTATAATTGGTTCATATTAAATGTTTAAAATATCTTACCTATATTTCTATGCATTATTTGATTACATGTACTTTGTAAATATTTCACAGGTAATTTATACCGACTTAACCTATCACCCTTATAATTGGTTCATATTGAATTTTTAAAATATCTAACCTATATTTGTATGTATTATTTAATTTGTTGATTAATTTGTAAATATTTCGCAGGTTATTTTTTATTACTTATGTATATAAAATGACTGAATACAATTCACTCTGTATATATAACTTTAAAGATCCCTTGGCAGTTGGAATTCGATATAAGAGTTGGTCGTATATACATAATATGAGGGACTATAATTCATTCTGTACATTTATCTCTGACGTCATCATTTAAAATTCTATATTAGTATATATCATAGTTAAATTCTCAATATTTTGTTGTAAATGATCTATATCTGAAATAAATGTTTTCAAGTTATGAATTATGGTTATATTCTTACAGTCAGCCAGACTTTATGGAGCAACATTTCTCCAGAAATTTGTTTTTAATTTTCACCAGAGACTGGAAGCACCAGCAAGGTTAATGGAATGTAAATACAGGTTAAAATGGCATCAAAAGTCAACATGGAAACTACTAAAGTAAATATTGTGATGGTTTTGCGATTTAAAAGAGACATGCGATGAGGTTTAACACAACAAGGTTAACTCAGTACTATATGTTATGGACAATAGTGTCGTGGGTTTGAATAACAGTAGTGGGAGGGGTGAGGGCGGGGGGAGTCGGGTTGTTAGGGTACTCGACTCCGGACTAAGCGCGAAGTCTGGGCATGGAAGTCGAACATATGTCACGGTAACCTATATGTGGGCTATAATGGTAAATTGTTGCGCACGCACTGACGGACTGGGGGTTGGAGACTCCCGAGCCTGGCCCCACTAGGAGCTCTCACTCTAAAATGTGTTAAAAACAGACTGTAAATGGTAGAATATATCCTAAATGTTTCAAGCTTATGCAGAAATTTAGCGATTGGCAAAGTTACCAATTCATTAAAAACGCCGTAAATTCGAGACTGAAAGGGTTAGATCTATTTGATATGGTCAACTTCAGATTTGGTGTCAAATGGTACCACGAGGGCGGTGACAACAGTCACGTGTGTAGCGGTTTTCCTTGTTCCACGACATGGACAGGTATATTTTTCTAGATACAAAAAAAAGGCAATTGTAAAATATAGGCATATTTGCTAAAATGACACGGCGGCTAATATCGCCGTTTTTTTACTAGAAAAATGTATCTGGACACATACATAGATGTGTGACAATACGGGGACAGATTTGACTATCCTGGTCAAAACTTCCCAAAACAGCCTGGGACACTATCCTTCGTCATGGCACCGAAAAACGGTTCTGTGATGCTGTGATCAATTAGAAACTAACTTTGGTCTCCACTTTAATGTATATAAAACTATTAACTCTGGAACAGTTTCTTGGTTAACTATGTTTTTATATCTTTATAACATTCATAATATAATGGTTACATACAGGAAACTACACACACAGCTATGACATTAAATATAAGCTAAATATAAATTCTCTATCCCCTAGCTTGTGTTTTGCGCCGGTGTTTCCCAGCCTCTCAGCCGAGCAGGCTGTGGGAGCGTTCTTCAGGGAACATTAAATGATGTGTGATTCCTATATACGAACTCCAAATGATGTCTTCACTCTAGTCTCTAAGCCGAGGAGGCCGTGGGTATGCTGTTCCCCTGGGAACTCCGAATGATGTCTAAAGGGAAATTTAACCCCGCTGTTTCTTATATAGAAAGTATAGATGCGTCAGCTATTAGGACGGGACAATTACCATTTTTTGGTAAGTGTTTCGTATGGGCACCGTTTTACGTCAACATTATTCTATTTAATTGAACTAATCTGTGCACGAGATGACTGGACGATAGTACCCTACTTTCAGCATTTGATGGTGGCAGGAACTGTGGCGGGGAGGGCGGGGGGGGGGGGTGTAGTCTAAGACAGCTGAATCTTGCAAAATACCTACTTAACCGATTTCTCGTTGTCACGCATTAGTTTAACCACTTCAATATATTAAACAGAGCAGAGCACCTTACATAAAACTTGAATAACCCCTACCATGGACCGCCATGCCTCTACAAAATAAGAGTCCGATAGAATTACAAATTGGGTTTAACGTCCATTCGACACAAACTAGGTCATTTCGGGACTAACACATGGTTCAATTTTATTTCAATAATTCGCTTACGCGTTGGGTCTTTAGCAGTGGGGGGAAACAGGGCGACTCGAAGAAAACCCACGAGGTTGGATCGACAGGCGACCCTACTCTTTGTCACGTACACGCGGGAAATCGATTAAACCACGCCAATTGACATGATGACAGACCTTATGATACAGCGTGGATGCGTTCATTCGACTGTAAAATAGTCAGTAAAATAGAGCAGATAATTGAATATTTATGTTGATAGTTAACGCTGGGTTTACCTGAACATTGTGTATAACTCTGAAAAAATCAATAATTGTCTTTAATTAAAACAACATATAATTGATAGCTCAGAGTAGCTCATGTTGACTTATGTCTAAAAACTGGGGCGGACTGCATGGATCTCAGACCATCGGACGTGATCCGAGGGGTTATGGGGATCATCCGCCCCATTGTAAAAATAATTGACCTATGTTTATTTAAAACAATCAATCAAATTCATTCACTGAAAATAGAATCCGGGGAGAAAAATGAATCAAGCTGGTTTCGTTTTCTCCATCGCGGTAGAAACTTGTCCCATGTTTACAAATCGGCCACTGTTTATATCTTTGATGTCACGTGATACCATTCTCTGGTGACGTTACACCAACCAAGCTGGTCTGATCAAACTGGGTGCTAAAAATAGATCGGCCACGTGTATCTGTCAAACGTTGTAGTTACCATGTCATGTTGATAGCTGATATAAAAACAATTTCTATCATGCGATATTTCAATAACTAAATAAACATCGAATAAAAACGGGTCTCTAGTTTTAACAGAAAGTCATTAATCAACAAACCTTGTGAGAGATAGAGAGAGCTAAAAAGGTCGATCGAAATCAGTATTTGTTTTAAAAAGTTAATTTTGCAAGAGAGACGGATACCTGTTTTGTGAATTGATATTCTTCAACTTTCGATTCAAGAACATCATTTTAATTAGCCTACAAGAAAGAATTTATTTAGGTTACAATGGGTTTATTTTTATCGAAGATTGTTGAAGCTATAACAGCTTTTAGCGGTAGTGATCCATCCCGGATATTAATGTTAGGATTAGATGCTGCTGGTAAGTAGAAAATATATTTTATTCTATCTGATTATAGACGACTGGTATATTTACACACAGAGATAGGTTTCTTGAACCAGAAAATAAAACTCTTTATACACTGTTATTCAATGCAACGTTAAATTTTCTGGATGTTAAAAAAAAAAAACCCTCAAACCAAATGACATTTTGATTATAATCGGCCGCATCTGGAACATCTATTTTATTTTTATTTTTTCCCTGCTTGTCGAAACAACGAGAAATTGTTAGACAAACACCAAGAACAATTTATTATTTACAACAAAACACTACCCAGGTGACATATTAAATAGCTTGAATTCGTATATTTTGTAGTTAAAAAGAAGAAGGCCTAAGGTATCAAGTCAAACGGAAATCGAAGTGAACACGTTAGAAGGGATCGTTATAGGCCCCGAGATTCACTTGAAGGGTCGAGTAAAATGGCTAACTTATTTAGTCGCCATATTATTTCACTCCCCTGTTTGGGTTTCAACTCTCTATTCCAAGCGTCTTGAGAGAGAGAGAGAGAGAGAGAGAGAGAGAGATGGGGTTTAACGTCCACTCGACACAAACTAGGTCATTTCGGGACTAACATATGGTTAATTTTATTTCAATAATTCGCTTGCGCGTAGGGGTCTTTAGCAGTGGGAAGAAACCGGAGGACCCGGAGAAAACCGACGAGGTTGGACAGGCGACCCTACTCCTTGTCACGTTTCCAAGCTTCTTGAATCAAGATTACATTGAATATTCATAATTCAACAGTAGACGTTTGTATTTAGAAATAGGAATGGCAAACCTTTTTTCTTGTGCTTATTCATAGCGTCAGTGGGGGGGGGGGTTCACATAGTACGTTTATTGAATATGGATCAATATTTTTCATGAAAATGTAACAATAATTGTATTTTTTACAGGTAAAACGACGGTATTATATAAGTTAAAGTTAAATGAGACAGTATGTACAATACCTACTATAGGATTTAATGTCGAAACTGTCTCACCTGTTAAAGGTGTTACATTCACAGTGTGGGATGTTGGAGGACAAGAAAAAATTAGAACTTTATGGAGACATTATTACCAGAACGCACAAGGTAGTTATTGACTTTTATAGAATTATATTGATTTTAATTTAGGTCTGCTCGAATTAGAAATTAAAAGGGGTTGTGAAAGCCTTCTTATACTTCTGTATTAGATGACTAACCTTTATAAGTTAAGTATGCCTTCTACAGGTGACGTCACATCTCGAGGCGTAGATCATTGGCTCTATGGCGCGTGTATCGTTTACTCATTGTATATACAAAATTACACTCAATAGGAAATATTTTTCATCTAGATACACTTCAAACACCTTTATTTATTTTTCTAATACTTCAAAAAAAAAAAACAAAAAAAAAAAAACAAACTAACAAACAAACAAAAACGGACCCTCCTTCACCATTTACAGGGGATACAAGACTTGAAAATCTGACAATTCTCTCGGCCGACATCGGGGTCTCTCCACTCAATTTTATTGGATTCTTATAATTATTTTCATTGACCATGCTGACTAATAGTATAGATATTCATTAATATGTAACGACATCGATCATCTTGATAGAACATCATCCATAATTCAAAATAGTTTACATTTATAGAAAGGTCATTAAAGTACTGTATATATACCATTTTAAAAATTGTATACTTAACGACTGAAGCCCTGACAACAAATTTACTACTAATAAAGCATACAGGAAATTAATTTCTATCTGATCTGGCATTACGTCATTTCTCAATTCCTTTATGGTTGAAGTTACTTTTACTGACATGATTTGATAATTTGAGTATATGATTATTTTATCTTTGTTTGAGTATAAAAGTTGTTTCGTAGGTTACCGTGTTTCATACATTTATTATGTCATTGTTTATGGTTAAAAATACAGTTATTGGCATTGTGTCATTGTTTATGGTTAAAGATATAGTTATTGGTGTTTTGTCATACTTTATGTTGAATATATGATTAATTGATCTTTGTTTGAGTACAAAAGTTGTTTCGTCGGTTATGTTGTTTCATTCTTTATGGTTATATATACAGTTATTGGCATTATGTCATTTATAAGGATACAGTTAGTGGCGTTATGTCATACTTTATGGTTAAAGATACAGTTATTGGCGAATTGTCATTTATAAAGATACAGTTATTGGCATTATTTCGTTCTTTATGGTTAAAGATACGGTTATTGGCGTTATGTCATACTTTACGGTTAAAGATACGGTTATTATGCCATACTTTATGGTTAAAAGATACAGTTATTGACATTATGCCATTCTTTATGGTTAAAGATACAGTTATTGGCATTATAAATTCTTTATGGTTAAAGATACAGTTATTATATCATACTTTATGGTTAAAGATACAGTTATTGGCGTTATTTCGTTCTATATGGTTAAAGATACAGTTATTGTCATTATAAATTCTTTATGTTTAAAGATACAGTTATTATATCATACTTTATGGTTAAAGATATAGTTATTGGCATTCTTTATGTTGAATATATGATTAATTGATCTATGTTTTAATTGTAGGTTTGGTATATGTTGTTGATAGTGCTGATGTTACCAGAATGGCCGAAGCTAAAGAAGAATTACATGCTATATGTAAAGATATCCAAATGGAAGGTGTACCTGTTGTCATAGTAGCCAATAAACAGGATTTACCTGGTAAGGTCACTAATTACAAATTTCACGATTTCCTGACACATTTACCGTTTAAAGTGGACGTTTCGCTTTCAAAAAGAAAATAAAAGTAACCCTAAGCAAGTCAAAATACAAATTGAGATCGGATTACTTTGAACCTTATTTTCACCTCGGCTGTCAGCTCTACCTTCTTATCGACTGAGGGGGCGGGGGGGGGGGGTGTATGGCCGAATGGTTAGCTCCTGCGCGTTGTATCATAAGATCTGTCATTAAGTTAACTGGCGTAGTTTCGATTCCCAGGTTGTATGTGACAAGTAGTAGGGTCGCCTGTCCAACCGGGTACCCCGGTTTCCTCCCACTGCTAAAGACCCCTACGCGTAAGCGAATTATTGAAATAAAATTGAGCCATGTGTTCAGGCCCGTAGCCAGCTTGCTAGCTTCGGAGGGGCAGTGAAGTTTTTCGGGGGGACACACCCGGCACAGTCTACAGTAGATATTTTAGAGCTATGGTCGGCAATTTATTTTTCCGGGGGGGGGGGGGGCTTGCCCCCCTCTGGCTACGGGCCTGCATGTGTTAGTCCCGAAATGACCTAGTTTGTGTCAGTGGACGTTAAACCCCATTTCTCTCTCTTTTGAGCGACATTTTAAATATATTCATTTTTCATTATCTATTTTTGAACTATTATACCAAGAACAGTATGCATTTTCAAATAAAATCTTTTTATGCGTGAGGGACGTGGGGTGAATCTTTTTTATTCAAAATAGTATTCCATTATAAAATTCATTTATTGAGATTTGTTATTTTATTTGAATAATTCAGGAGCGTTAAAAACATCTGAAATAGCTGATCAATTAGATATGATGTCATTCCGAGATAGAAAATGGTACGTTCAAGGAGCTTGTGCTAAAACTGGAGAAGGAATCTATGAAGCGATGACTGAAATGGCCAGATTAACAAAATTATTCCAGAGTAAAAGATGAGGGAAATTTCAAAATAATGATGTGTGTGTGTATTAAAAACAATGGATGAACAAACTAGTGTATATATACACATATCAGTTCTATTGTTTCAACACTTACAATCTGATTAAAAGATGAGGGAAATTTCAAAATCACGGTTTGTGTGTGAATTAAAACAATGGCTTAAGTCTGTAATTATCATTGCTCCTGAATCAAGCCCGATTGAATGTTTTTCTTAATCTGTGAAGTCAGGACACGTGGGTATTTCGTAAAACCTTTAAATGTAATGAATGTGTGTAAAATATTGGATGTCAGAAGCCTTTTCTGTTTTTACTGTAATTTATAATCAGTTATGTTCGGCGAAATACTCCAGAAGTCTCAATCGAATGACAAGCTCTAGCGTCTAGTTATTCCAGTCTACTACACTGATAGTATTTATAGCGCATTTTCTCACGAATATAGCGTCACCGTTTGACATGACTCGTGGAATATGTCTAGCCTAATTCTTCGGGTCCCTTAATTGTTACAAATGAGGCTGAAACGCATTATGGTACACGATTCGTGTACCAATTGTAAAATGTTTATTTTGTCTTAAATATTGGATATCAGAAGCACATCTTTTACCGGTAAGATCACAACATCAATGTTGATTTAGATTGACAAATAATTCGTGTTTTCAGTGTCGAAGACTTCGGATAATATCCCCGTAGAGACTTAGCTACTTTAAATGTAATGACATGACGTGTAGAATGTGTCTAGTCTAGTTCTTCGGGTCCCTTGTTACAAATGGCGCTGAAACGCATTATGGTACACGATTCGTGTACCAATGCTAAATTGTTTATTTTGTCTTAAATATTGGATATCAGAAGCCCATCTTTTCCCGGTAAGATCCCAACATCAATGTTGATTTGAATTGATAAATAATTCGTGTTTTCAGTGTCGAAGACTTTGGATGGTATTCAGATTGAGACTTGGCTACTATAAATGTAATGACTATATGTGATAATATTATAAAGATCAACATTATTTCACGAGACAATGCAGATTTATTAATAACCTTATACTTCGCGGAGTCTTGTGTAATGAATACATGTGATAATATTATAAAGATCAACATTATTTCACGAGACAATGCAGATTTATTAATAACCTTATACTTCGCGGAGTCTTGTGTAATGAATACATGTGATAATATTATAAAGATCAACATTATTTCACGAGACAATGTAGATTATTAATAACCTTATACTTCGCGGAGTCTTGTGTAATGAATGTGTGTTAAGATCAACATTATTTCACGAGACAATGTAGATTTAACCTTATACTTCGCGGGGCCTTGTGTAATGAATGGAACGAACTGAAATTGATAAATATGTCTGTGATTTTAGAAAGATCAATAATAATTGTACCAGAAATTACATGTTATAGAATTTGTGCACTTGCCGTATACAGCCTTATTGAATTTGTGCACTTGCCGTTTATTCATATTGCACATACCATAGACCATATTTTATAGAAGTATATAAAGTTCATGACGTAACTAAATCTATCAATCTTATAATTGGTTCATATTCAATGTTTAAGATATCTTACCTATACTGATGTCCAAAAGAAAGTATACACACTAAAAGTAGGACTAAGTTTTGTTTAGATTAAAAACATTTGATAAAGCATTACTGAGATTGTCTCTTGCGTCCAAACTCAACATTTGTAAGCAAAATAAAAATGTGAAACAAATTGACATTCTACCCAAATACCGTATACCATGGAAAAACGACTTTGGTTGATGCAGCACAAAATGCACAGTGTATACTTTCTTTTGGACATTAGTATATATTATTAGCCTTATTGAATTTGTGCACTTGCCGTAGTCACATTGCATTAAACCTGTCAACCTTATAATTGGTTCATATTCAATGTTTAACATATCTATACCTATATTTCTATGCATTATTTGATTACTTTGTAAATATTTCCCAGGTAATTTATACCGACTAAACCTATCAACCTTATAATTGGTTCATTGAATTTTTAACATATCTATACCTATATTTCTATGTATTATTTAATTTGTAAATATTTCGCAGGTTATTTTTTATTACTTATGTATATAAAATGACTGAATATAATTCACTCTGTATATATAACGTTAAAGATCCCTTGGCAGTTGGAATTCGATATAAGAGTTGGTCGTATATACATAATATGAGGGACTATAATTCATTCTGTACATTTATCTCTGACGTCATCATTTAAAATTCTATATTAGTATATATCATAATTAAATTCTCAATATTTTGTTGTAAATGATCTATATCTGAAATAAATGTTTTCAAGTTATGAATTATGGTTATATTCTTACAGTCAGCCAGACTTTATGGAGCAACATTTCTCCAGAAATTTGTTTTTAATTTTCACCAGAGACTGGAAGCACCAGCAAGGTTAATGGAATGTAAATACAGGTTAAAATGGCATCAAAAGTCAACATGGAAACTATATACTAAAGTAAATATTGTGATGGTTTTGCGATTTAAAAGAGACATGCGATGAGGTTTAACACAACAAGGTCAACTCAGTACTATATGTTATGGACAATAGTGTCATGGGTTTGAATAACAGTAGTGGGAGGGGTGAGGGCGGGGGGAGTCGGGTTGTTAGGGTACTCGACTCCGGACTAAGCGCGAAGACTGGGCATGGAAGTCGAACATATGTCACGGTAACCTATATGTGGGCTATAATGGTAAATTGTTGCGCACGCACTGACGGACTGGGGGTTGGAGACTCCCGAGCCTGGCCCCACTAGGAGCTCTCACTCTAAAATGTGTTAAAAACAGACTGTAAATGGTAGAATATATCCTAAATGTTTCAAGCTTATGCAGAAATTTAGCGATTGGCAAAGTTACCAATTCATTAAAAACGTCGTAAATTCGAGACTGAAAGGGTTTCAAAACTACAGGAGAACATCCACTTTTACAGAGGTTAGATTTATTTGATATGGTCAACTTCAGATTTGGTGTCAAATGGTACCACGAGGGCGGTGACAACAAAAAAAAGCAATTGTAAAATATAGGCATATTTGCTAAAATGACACGGCGGCTAATATCGCCTTTTTTTTACTAGAAAAATGTATCTGAACACATACATAGATGTGTGACAATACGGGGACAGATTTGACTATCCTGGTCAAAACTTCCCAAAACAGCCTGGGACACTATCCTTCGTCACGGCACCGAAAAACGGTTCTGTGATGCTGTGATCAATTAGAAACTAACTTTGGCCTCCACTTTAATGTATATAAAACTATTAACTCTGGAACAGTTTCTTGGTTAACTATGTTTTTATATCTTTATAACATTCATAATATAATGGTTACATACAGGAAACTACACACACAACTATGACATTAAATATAAGCTAAATATAAATTCTCTATCCCCTAGCTTGTGTTTTGCGCCGGTGTTTCCCAGCCTCTCAGCCGAGCAGGCTGTGGGAGCGTTCTTCAGGGAACATTAAATGATGTGTGATTCCTATATACGAACTCCAAATGATGTCTTCACTCTAGTCTCTAAGCCGAGGAGGCCGTGGGTATGCTGTTCCCCTGGAAACTCCGAATGATGTCTAAAGGTAAATTTAACCCCGCTGTTTCTTATATAGAAAGTATAGATACATCAGCTATTAGGGCGGGACAATTACCATTTTTTGGTAAGTATTTCGTGTGGGCACCGTTTTACGTCAACATTATTCTATTTAATTGAACTAATCTGTGCACGAGATGACTGGACGATAGTACCCTACTTTCAGCATTTGATGGTGGCAGGAACTGTGGCGGGGAGGGGGGTGTAGTCTAAGACAGTTGAATCTTGCAAAATACCTACTTAACCGATTTCTCGTTGTCACGCATTAGTTTAACCACTTCAATATATTAAACAGAGCAGAGCACCTTACATAAAACTTGAATAACCCCTACCATGGACCGCCATGCCTCTACAAAATAAGAGTCCGATAAAATTACAAATTGGGTTTAACGTCCATTCGACACAAACTAGGTCATTTCGGGACTAACACATGGTTGAATTTTATTTCAATAATTCGCTTAGCAGTGGGGGGAAACAGGGCGACTCGAAGAAAACCCACGAGGTTGGATCGACAGGCGACCCTACTCTTTGTCACGTACACGCGGGAAATCGAAACCACGCCAATTAACATGATGACAGACCTTATGATACAGCGTGGATGCGTTCATTCGACTGTAAAATAGTCAGTAAAATAGAGCAGATAATTGAATATTTATGTTGATAGTTAACGCTGGGTTTACCTGAACATTGTGTATAACTCTGAAAAAATCAATAATTGTCTTTAATTAAAACAACATATAATTGATAGCTAAGAGTAGCTCATGTTGACTTATGTCTAAAAACTGGGGCGGACTGCATGGATCTCAGACCATCGGACGTGATCCGAGGGGTTATGGGGATCATCCGCCCCATTGTAAAAATAATTGACCTATATTTATTTAAAACAATCAATCAAATTCATTCACTGAAAATAGAATCCGGGGAGAAAAATGAATCCAGCTGGTTTCGTTTTCTCCATCGCGGTAGAAACTTGTCCCATGTTTACAAATCGTCCACTGTTTATATCTTTGATGTCACGTGATACCATTCTCTGGTGACGTCACACCAACCAAGCTGGTCTGATCAAACTGGGTGCTAAAAATAGATCGGCCACGTGTATCTGTCAAACGTTGCAGTTACCATGTCATGTTGATAGCTGATATAAAAACAATTTCTATCATGCGATATTTCAATAACTAAATAAACATCGAATAGAAACGGGTCTCTAGTTTTAACAGAAATACATTAATCAACAAACCTTGTGAGAGATAGAGAGAGATAAAAAGGCCGATCGAAATCAGTATTTGTTTTAAAAAGTTAATTTTGCAAGAGAGACGGATACCTGTTTTGTGAATTGATATTCTTCAACTTTCGATTCAAGAACATCATTTTAATTAGCCTACAAGACAGGATTTATTTAGGTTACAATGGGTTTATTTTTATCGAAGATTATTGAAGCTTTAACAGCTTTTAGCGGTAGTGATCCATCCCGGATATTAATGTTAGGATTAGATGCTGCTGGTAAGTAGAGAATATATTTTATTATATCTGATTATAGACGACTGGTATATTTACATACCGAGATAGGTTTCTTGAACCAAAAAATAAAACTCTTTATACACTGTTATTCAGTGCAACGTTAAATTTTCTGGATGTTAAAAAAAAAACTCTCAAACCAAATGACATTTTGATTATAATCGGCCGCATCTGGAACATCTATTTCATTTTTATTTTTTCCCTGCTTGTCGAAACAACGAGAAATTGTTAGACAAACACCAAGAACAATTTATTATTTACAACAAAACACTACCCAGGTGACATATTAAATAGCTTGAATTCGTATATTTTGTAGTTAAAAAGAAGAAGGCCTAAGGTATCAAGTCAAACGGAAATCGAAGTGAACACGTTAAAAGGGATCGTTATAGGCCCCGAGATTCACTTGATGGGTCGAGTAAAATGGCTAACTTATTTAGTCGCCATATTATCCACCCGGGGAGAAGGGGGTGGGGTGGGGCACTCCCCTTATCTGCCTGTTTGGGTTTCATCTCTCTATTCCCAGCGTCTTGAGAGAGAGAGAGAGAGATGGGGTTTAATGTCCACTCGACACAAACTAGGTCCTTTCGGGACTAACATATGGTTAATTTCATTTCAATAATTCGCTTCCGCGTAGGGGTCTTTAGGACCCGGAGAAAACCCACGAGTTTGGACATGCGACCCTACTCCTTGTCACGTTTCCAAGCGTCTTGAATGAAGATTACGTAGTATATTCATAATACAACAGTAATAGTCTGTTTTTAGAAATAGGAATGGCAAACCTGTTTCTTGTGCTTACTCATAGCATCAGTGTGTGTGTGTGTGGGGGGGGGGGGTCACATGGTACGTTTATTGAATATGGATCAATTTTTTTCATGAAAATGTAATAATAATTGTATTTTTTACAGGTAAAACGACGGTATTATATAAGTTAAAGTTAAATGAGACAGTATGTACAATACCTACTATAGGATTTAATGTCGAAACTGTCTCACCTGTTAAAGGTGTTACATTCACAGTGTGGGATGTTGGAGGACAAGAAAAAATTAGAACTTTATGGAGACATTATTACCAGAACGCACAAGGTAGTTATTGACTTTTATAGAATTATATTGATTTTAATTTAGGTCTGCTCGAATTAGAAATTAAAAGGGGTTGTGAAAGCCTTCTTATACTTCTGTATTATATGACTAACCTTTATAAGTTATGTATGCCTTCTACAGGTGACGTCACATCTCGAGGCGTAGATCATTGGCTCTATGGCGCGTGTATCGTTTACTCATTGTATATACAAAATTACACTCAATAGGAAATATTTTTCATCTAGATACACTATAACATAATGACTTATGTCATAGAGGCGTCCTGCCATATTAAAATACGTGTTAGTGATTGTAACATAAACCTGTCGCTATCAATACGCGGCTGGAGATCTTGGTAGTATTCCTTATGTCATTGCGTAACTATAACTTGTTGTTGGCATGTCTTATCTGACTTTCTTTGTCTGATAAACTATATTGAATGATAAACCTTCATATGATGCTTGATACATTAGACAGGTGTCTAATGAGCTCCTTTGTCTCGAATACGTTTATAAACTCAGAACAGAAACGAATCTTCAGGCGGGTCCAGGAGGCCATGCTAGGCGGGTGCCTAGATCAAGGTACCTAATGGATACGAGGGAGGTCCAGGCAGGACATGAGGGCAGGCGGAGGCTAGGCGACGTCTGGTAGTTAACTCCAGGCCAGGCAGGTTTGGAGTTAAGACCGGACAACGGCCAACTAATGTAATTTAGTCCTGGGTGTCTTTAACATTACGATGTTTGTACATAATATGTTAGAAGCAGAATAAAAATATTATATTCGAAGTCACACCAGTGTTGCCTCCAGAACTTGATTTAAAGAAATACTGTCACAACACTTCAAACACCTTTATTTATTTTTCTAATACTTCAAAAAAAAAAACCCCAAAAAAACCCAAACTAACAAACAAACAAAAACGGACCCTCCTTCACCATTTACAGGGGATACAAGACTTGAAAATCTGACAATTCTCTCGGCCGACATCGGGGTCTCTCCACTCAATTTGATTGGACCATGCTGACTAGTAGTATAGATATTCATTATTATGTAACGACATCGATCATCTTGATAGAACATCATCCATAATTCAAATTAGTTTACATTTATAGAAAGGTCATTAAAGTACTGTATATATACCATTTTAAAAATGGTATACTTAACGACTGAAGCCCTGACAACAAATTTACTACTAATAAAGCATACAGGAAATTAATTCCTATCTGATCTGGCATTACGTCATTTTTTTGAGTTTATGATTATTCATCTACGCTTCAATTCCTTTATGGTTAAAGTTACTTTTACTGACATGATTTGATAATTTGAGTATATGATTATTTGATCTTTGTTTGAGTATAAAAGTTGTTTCGTCGGTTAAGTTGTTTTATTCCTTGTGGTTACAGATACAGTTATTGGCATTATTTCGTACTTTATGGTTAAAGATACGGTTATTGGCGTTATGTCATACTTTACGGTTAAAGATACGGTTATTATGCCATACTTTATGGTTAAAGATACAGTTATTGACATTATGCCATTATTTATGGTTAAAGATACAGTTATTGGCATTATGTCATTTATAAGGATACAGTTAGTGGCGTTATGTCATACTTTATGGTTAAAGATACAGTTATTATATCATACTTTATGGTTAAAGATACAGTTATTGGCGAATTGTCATTTATAAAGATACAGTTATTGGCATTATTTCGTTCTTTATGGTTAAAGATACGGTTATTGGCGTTATGTCATACTTTACGGTTAAAGATACGGTTATTATGCCATACTTTATGGTTAAAGATACAGTTATTGACATTATGCCATTCTTTATGGTTAAAGATACAGTTATTGGCATTATAAATTCTTTATGGTTAAAGATACAGTTATTATATCATACTTTATGGTTAAAGATACAGTTATTGGCGTTATTTCGTTCTATATGGTTAAAGATACAGTTATTGTCATTATAAATTCTTTATGTTTAAAGATACAGTTATTATATCATACTTTATGGTTAAAGATATAGTTATTGGCATACTTTATGTTGAATATATGATTAATTGATCTATGTTTTAATTCTAGGTTTGGTATATGTTGTTGATAGTGCTGATGTTACCAGAATGGCCGAAGCTAAAGAAGAATTACATGCTATATGTAAAGATATCCAAATGGAAGGTGTACCTGTTGTCATTGTAGCCAATAAACAGGATTTACCTGGTAAGGTCACTAATTACAAATTTCACGATTTCCTGACACATTTACCGTTTAAAGTGGACGTTTCGCTTTCAAAAAGAAAATAAAAGTAACCCTAAGCAAGTCAAAATACAAATTGAGATCGGATTACTTTGAACCTTATTTTCACCTCGGCTCTCAGCTCTACCTTCTTATCGACTGAGGGGGGGGGGGGGGTGTATGGCCGAATGGTTAGCGCCTGCGCGTTGTATCATAAGATCTGTCATTAAGATAACTGGCGTAGTTTCGATTCCCAGGTTGTATGTGACAAGTAGTAGGGTCGCCTGTCCAACCGGGTACCCCGGTTTCCTCCCACTGCTAAAGACCCCTACGCGTAAGCGAATTATTGAAATAAAATTGAGCCATGTGTTCAGGCCCGTAGCCAGCTTGTTAGCGTCGGAGGGACAGTGAAGTTTTTAGGGGGGACACACCCGGCACAGTCTACAGTAGGTATTTTAGAGCTATGGTCGGCAATTTTTTTTTCGGGGGGGGGGGGGGGCTTGCCCCCCTCTGGCTACGGGCCTGCATGTGTTAGTCCCAAAATGACCTAGTTTGTGTCAGTGGACGTTAAACCCCATTTCTCTCTCTTTTGAGCGACATTTTAAATATATTCATTTTTCATTATCTATTTTTGAACTATTATACCAAGAACAGTATGCATTTTTAAATAAAATCTTTTTATGCGTGAAGGACGTGGGGTGAATCTTTTTATTCAAAATAGTATTCCATTATAAAATTCATTTATTGAGATTTGTTATTTTATTTGAATAATTCAGGAGCGTTAAAAACATCTGAAATAGCTGATCAATTAGATATGATGTCATTCCGAGATAGAAAATGGTACGTTCAAGGAGCTTGTGCTAAAACTGGAGAAGGAATCTATGAAGCGATGACTGAAATGGCCAGATTAACAAAATTATTCCAGAGTAAAAGATGAGGGAAATTTCAAAATAATGATTTGTGTGTGTATTAAAAACAATGGATGAACAAACTAGTGTATATATACACATATCAGTTCTATTGTTTCAACACTTACAATCTGATTAAAAGATGAGGACAATTTCAAAATTACGGTTTGTGTGTGAATTAAAACAATGGCTTAAGTCTGTAATTATCAGTGCTCCTGAATCAAGCCCGATTGAATGTTTTTCTTAATCTGTGAAGTCAGGACACGTGGGTACTTCGTGAAACCTTTAAATGTAATGAATGTGTGTAAAAAATTGGATGTCAGAAGCCTTTTCAGTTTTTACTGTAATTTATAATCAGTTATGTTCGGCGAAATACTCCAGAAGTCTCAATCGAATGACAAGCTCTAGCGTCTAGTTATTCCAGTCTACTACACTGATAGTATTTATAGCGCATTCTCTCACGAATATAGCTTGTCTACGATATCACCTTAGGTGGAAGTGGACGTAAAACCCCAGAAACGAACGAAACGAACGAACGAATATAGCGTCACCGTTTGACATGACTCGTGGAATATGTCTAGCCTAATTCTTCGGGTCCCTTGTTACAAATGAGGCTGAAACGCATTATGGTACACGATTCGTGTACCAATTGTAAAATGTTTATTTTGTCTTAAATATTGGATATCAGAAGCCCATCTTTTACCGGTAAGATCACAACATCAATGTTGATTTAGATTGACAAATAATTCGTGTTTTCAGTGTCGAAGACTTTGAATAATATCCCCGTAGAGACTTAGCTACTTTAAAGGAGCTAAATCGCTAACATTTTGGGACCTAGAAATTCACAAAAGTGGGTCGCAACGCATATAATACTGTAATATGAATGTATATAAACTGATTTACATTTAATGGTTTCCGTTTTTACTCCAATTTCAAATCAGTTATGTTCGGCAAAATAAGTCAGCAATCTCAATCAAGTGCAAATTTCTAGCGTCTAGTTATTCTAGTCTACATAACTCCATTTGATTTGGTGCAATGTGTGTAGCCTCGTCCTTCGAGTCTCTCAATACAACTGGGGCTGAAGCGCATTATGGTACACGATTCGTGTACCAATGACTAAAAAAATTATTTTATCTTAAATATCGGATATCAGAAGCTCATCTTTTCCCGGTAAGTTTACATCATCAATGTTGATTTAAATTGACCAATAATTCGTGTATTCGATGTCGAAGATTTTGGAGGATTTTGAGTTACGGACTTAGGTCCTTTAAATGTAATGACATGACGTGTAGAATGTGTCTAGCCTAGTTCTTCGGGTCCCTTGTTACAAATGGCGCTGAAACGCATTATGGTACACGATTCGTGTACCAATGCTAAATTGTTTATTTTGTCTTAAATATTGGATATCAGAAGCCCATCTTTTCCCGGTAAGATCCCAACATCAATGTTGATTTGAATTGATAAATAATTCGTGTTTTCAGTGTCGAAGACTTTGGATGGTATTCAGATTGAGACTTGGCTACTTTAAATGTAATGACTATATGTGATAATATTATAAAGATCAACATTATTTCACGAGACAATGCAGATTTATTAATAACCTTATACTTCGCGGAGTCTTGTGTAATGAATACGTGTGATAATATTATAAAGATCAACATTATTTCACGAGACAATGCAGATTTATTAATAACCTTATACTTCGCGGAGTCTTGTGTAATGAATACATGTGATAATATTATAAAGATCAACATTATTTCACGAGACAATGTAGATTATTAATAACCTTATACTTCGCGGAGTCTTGTGTAATGAATGTGTGTTAAGATCAACATTATTTCACGAGACAATGTAGATTTAACCTTATACTTCGCGGGGCCTTGTGTAATGAATGGAACGAACTGAAATTGATAAATATGTCTGTGATTTTAGAAAGATCAATAATAATTGTACCAGAAATTACATGTTATAGAATTTGTGCACTTGCCGTATACAGCCTTATTGAATTTGTGCACTTGCCGTTTAGTCATATTGCACAAAACCATAAACCGTATTATATAGATTTATATAAAGTTCATGACGTAACTAAATCTATCAACCTTATAATTGGTTCATATTCAATGTTTAAGATATCTTATGAACTTGTGCACTTGCCGTAGTCACATTGTACTAAACCAATCAACCTTATAATTGGTTCATATTTCAATGGTTAAGATATCTAGCCTTATTGAATTTGTGCACTTGCCGTAGTCACATTGTACTAAACCTATTAACCTTATAATTGGTTCATATTCAATGTTTAACATATCTAACCTATATTTGTATGTATTTTTTTTTAATTACTTTGTAAATATTTCCCAGGTAATTTATACCGACTAAACCTATCAACCTTATAATTGGTTCATATTCAATGTTTAACATATCTAACCTATATTTGTATGTATTTTTTTTTAATTACTTTGTAAATATTTCCCAGGTAATTTATACCGACTAAACCTATCAACCTTATAATTGGTTCATATTCAATGTTAAACATATCTAACCTATATTTGTTTGTATTTTTTTTTAATTACTTTGTAAATATTTTCCAGGTAATTTATACTGACTAAACCTATCAACCTTATAATTGGTTCATTGAATTTTTAACATATCTATACCTATATTTCTATGTATTATTTAATTTGTTAATATTTTACAGGTTATTTTTCATTACTTATATAATATAATTCACTCTGTACATATAACGTTAAAGATCCCTTGGCAGTTGGAATTCGCTGTAAGAGTTGGCCGTATATATACATAATATGAGGGAATACAATTCATTCTGTACATTTATCTCTGACGTCATCATTTAAAATTCTATATTAGTATATATCATGGTTAAATTCTCCATATTTTGTTGTAAATGATCTATATCTGAAATAAATGTTTTCAAGTTATGAATTATGGTTATATTCTTACAGTCAGCCAGACTTTATGGAGCAACATTTCTCCAGAAATTTGTTTTTAATTTTCACCAGAGACTGGAAGCACCAGCAAGGTTAATGGAATGTAAATACAGGTTAAAATGGCAGGAGAAGTCAATATGGAATCTACTAAAGTCAATATTGTGATGGTTTAGAGTAAGAGAGGGAGGGAGATGAGGTTTAATACAATATAAAACTAGGTCAGGACCGGGTGTGGGGAAACCGATGTTTGGGTACAGGACTAGAACTCGTGGATTTCCGAGAGACTGAGACAGGAAAGAGAAAGAGGTGGGTTTAACTCCACTCATCCCAAATATATTAAGTGTTTGAGAGAGAGAGAGAGAGAGAGAGATGGGGTTTAACATCCACTCAACCCAAACTAGGTCATTTCGGGACTAACATTAGTTCAATTTTTGTTCAATAATTCGCTTGCGCACAGGGGTCTTTAGTGGGAGGAAATCGGAGGACCCGGAGAAAAGCCACACGGGTTTGGACAGGCGACCTTACTCCTTGTTACGTATAAGCGGGGAATCGAAACCCCCGCCAGTTGACTCAATGACAGACCTCATGATTGAACACGTACGCGCTACTCCCCTCTAGCCCCACCCCACCCCCACACCTCATTGGTTCCAATCTTTATAGGCACATAGGGGACCGTATTTGACAATACCCTCATCATAATTTTGTAGGGGGTTGATTATTTAGAATTTTTGCTACAGGGGTTTGATGTTGACTGGGATAAAAATCTCACTTCCGACACAATGATTGCTCTGCAGGAAGACACTTTACACTGCCTATCCCTCCGCTGTAAAATCATCTACAAATGAAATTGCAAATTTGATCCGTTTTCTCCAATTCTAGACCAAAAGGTCAACAAAAAAATGCAGGAAGAGGGGAGAAAAAAATAAGGGAAAAATTGTATATTAATAACTTGCACTATGTTGCCATCATGGAATAAGGGGAAATAATTACTAGTCTTAGTCCATACAGTGTTTCTTTTTGCTGCAGTATGTTTAATGGATTAATTGAGCCCCTTTTATGGATAGATAATTGAGAATATGTATACTTTAATTCAGCAATCACTTATGAAATAGTTTTTTTTCACTTAATCCCTAGAGGTCCCCCGACTGGTGGAGGCCCCAGGGCTACAGTCCCTAAAACCTATATGCCTTAAGTATCCAGCTGAGGATCACGGTGGGTAAGACGCTGGCTCGCTAGCCTGGAGATCGGGTGTTCGATACCTGTAATGGCCAAGAATGTTCATTCAGATTTTCCGGCATGGTTCCCCCTTGTCAGTGATGCAGGACGGGGAGCCGGACAAGGACAGCTGTCTAGTCGTTTGGATGGCACGAAAAACCAAGGTCCCATGTACACATTGGCATGCACGTGTAAAAGATCCCTTGACAGTTGGAATTCGATATAAGAGTAGGCCGTAGTGCCGCTGTCCGGGCAAAATTTCCCCCATAGCATACTGTATGGCATATGCCCGTCTTCATTAGCCCAGTTCGGAGTAGGATGTTAAACCCCATTTCATTTCATATTTAATTATCCAGCCATGATTTATATCAGTTCTCCAGGAGTCACCTAGACTCACAAACCAGGATATCTTGTGTGTAATAAAGTTGTTGACCATGAAGTTCCTGTGGATGTTCAAGTCTGGTTTCTACCTGTCAGTTGTGATTGACATGGCAACAATGACAAGTGCAGGGATCGTAATCAGCTGATTAAAGTCAGCTTGAGCCACTTGACGTTTGAAACAGCCGATTGATAAAACAATGAACTGGTCATTATGGTATCATAAATCAATCTCCTTTCGGCTCATATATAGAGGTCACAATTCTATGAAAAACAATTACTGCTTATTACTGAGTGAGTTTCGACTAGGCTTCGATTACTCGAGAAGCCTGGTCGAAACGTCGCTCAGTAATGCTGAGCAGTAATTGACCGAGCAATGTTTCGACTAGGCTTCTCTAGTAATTGAAGCCTAGTCGAAACAGTAATAAGCAGTAATTCTATTCCAAAGAATTGTGACCTGCATATTCCAGTTCAATTACTAAATGCCATTGAAACAATTTACTTTCGACTCAATTACAAAGAATTAATTATTTGTGGATTTAGATGAAATGGTGTTTAATGTCCTACTGGGTTAATGAGAGAGAGAGAAATGGGGTTTAAC